TGTCAGGGGGCTCCTGTGCCTGCTATCTGCATAGTGGGGGGTGGGGAGGAGGAGCTATCAGTGAAGCAAATGGGAGGTTTCGCCCATGAATATTGCAAGCATTGGGAAGAAGGAAAGACCCTAAACTTCTTCCCTGTCCCTGATGTCCCTGCCTGAGAATCAAGCTTGTTCCAATCTCCTGTTTCTTGATTTACCTTGAATCAGATAGACAGGGGTGTCACATAAAGTGGGGGTGCGCCCTGAATTTTTGTTTGTTTCCTATGTTTGTGCATAGCCTTAAGGGCTTCCCACAGCCACTGTGACAATAGGCTCTTTGGCCTGATCCAGCAGTCTTTTCTTAAGCTCTCATGAGACGGTTTTGCAGCAACTTCTTCCGCCTTGTTTTGTTTCTTTGGCTTGCCATGTCCATTTGGGCCCAAGGAGGAAAGAACACTGCTTCTGATCACCAAAGACTTCCAAGTGGCTGGGCTCTCATGTTTGCTCTCTCGAACAGCCTGCACAGCAGAGCAGCTCGGTGTGTCGCAATTAAAGCGAAGTGAAGTCCCTTCTAATGAGCCCCAGCTCCTGCATGGTTACTGAGGCATGCCTGCCGAGCCGGCGCCTGATCATTATCATGGCTCTCTAAAACTATATATAGAATTAATTGGGGTCTGTAATGGAATTTATGTCATGGCAATGGGCTTTGCTTTCTTTCCAAAGTCCAGGGTGACTACGGAGAGCGTGTCAAAGGCGCTGAGAAGTGGCCTCACTCAAAAGACAGGAGGTGGCTGTAGCTCTCAGCGATACCATCCCTGCTGAGTGGGGCTCTGTGTTCGAGTTGACTCCTCACCCTTTAAATACGTTCAGCTGTCTCCTGCCAGTACCTCAACCAAGCCAACCCACCCCCCAAAAAAGATTCTTCTGGGTTATAGGATGCCATTATTGTTGCTTTTGATTTTTTCATCCAGTTTTCATAGAGCAATAGCGTTGTAGAGTTGGAAGAGACACCATGGAACATCTAGCCAAGGTTTACCAAACTTGGCTCTCTGGCTGTTTTTGGACTACAACTCCCATCATCCCTAGCTAGAAGGACCAATGGACATGGATGATGGGAATTGTAGTCCAAAAACAGCTGAGAAACACTGATCTAGTCCAACTCCCCACAGTGCAGGAATCACAGCTAAAGAAACCCTGACAGATTGCCTTCCACCTTCTGAGAGAATGCATTCCACTGTTGAACAGCTCTTACCACCAGAAAGTTAGCTAAAACCATGAGAGGATGAGTCTGTGTGTTTCATCAAGGCCACTGCCCCCTTACAAAACGATCCCTTCCTAGTTGTGCATCAAGAAAACCGCCGGCACATTTGCAAAGCTAAGCAGGGTCCGGTGTGGTTTCAAACTGGATGGGGGACCGAATGTTGAGATTCCTGCGTTGCACGGGGTTGGACCAGATGATCCTTGGGGTCCCTTCCAACTCTACAATTCTATGGTTTTATGAATGCAAGTTCCTCCAAGGAACTCAGGATGACATACATAGAGTCAACGGCACCACTTCCTGAATCATGTCATTCTCAGTGGATCACACACAACCTGGATGAGGAGGAGGAGGGCTGTGAAAACTGAGAATTCCCACTGCCTTGAGTGTTCCACACAAAGCAATGATGAACTTGCTATTGGGTTCCCTTTTTCTGCGTTGGGACATCAGCAAGAACCCTGACTAGTCTACTCCCTGGTAGTGGCCCTCAGTTATCCAATTATATCCACACAACAACCCTGCAAGGTCAGGTTAAGAGAAGGTCAATGGGTTCCAAAGAGGGTGTTTCATGCATAGTCCAGTGGTTTGAGTGTTGGGACTAGAACTTGGGAGATAAGGGTTCAAATCCCAACTCGGCCATGAAACTCACTGGGTGACATTGAGCCAGTTGCTTTCTCTCTCTCTCTCTCTCTCTCTCTCTCTCTCCTATTTCACAGTGTTTCTGTGAGCATAAATTATGGGATACCAAATAAATAAATAAATAAATAAATAAATAAATAACTCAACGGTCAGCAAGGGTCAATGTAGCTGAGATAGTTTGCAATTCCAGAATGAGCAATCCTGAGCTACACACTTTCTGGACTGTTGCTTATGAAAAGAAGTCCTTAAAGCTATGTACAGTAGCCATGCTTTCACCCCTTTGGAACCTCACGTGGCGTAGCCCCAACTTGACACTCAGGCAAGCCGCAGACCGGCTTTCCCTTCTGATGTGCGACCTCTCTCTCTCCCCAGCAAACAAATGTGTACACGTGGAGAGCCACCCAGTTGGCTCGTGAGCCGATTCATAATTCCAAGCTCTGGCAGATTTACACAGTTCAGGAAGTGCGGCTTTTTATTTACTGGATTCCATTTCACATCAGTGAACTGTAAAATTATAACCACAGCTTCTCCCCGGCCTCTTTTTCAGATCTATGGCCTCTCTCTCTCTCTCTCTCTCTCTCTCTCTTTTTCAGTTTTTCGTGCACATGTTGAGGAGGCTGCAGTGATAAAACAATCCATCTCTGGGAGGGCTCTCCCCAACCCCCACCACTGCCTTTTTAATTTTCTTTGAATGCATTCTGAAGTACACACACACACACACACACACACACACACACACACAGAGTGCCCTTCATGTAAAACCCTTTCCTAATAATAATAATAATAATAATAATAATAATAATAAATTATTAATACCCCGCCCTTCCCGGTTCAAAAACTGGGCTCAGGGCGGCTAGCAACAAATTTAAAACACTTAATTGTAAAAGCAGCATAAAATACAGTATAAAAACATGAATAACAATAAAATTCAAAGTTCAGAAATCAATTTAGGGGAAGTCAATCTAATAAGCATTAGATAATCACCAGGGCTAGCTGGCTGAATTGGTCCTACTTGGGCCAGCCAGGAGGCCAGGGGAGAATTAGCTGTGGGGTCTCAAGAGCGGGTGATCTTCATAAAAGGGAAGGAGGAGGAAAGAGAAGGGAAATAAAAGATCAGGCTGAATTCAAATTAAAGGCCAGGTGGAATAGCTCTGTCTTACAGGCCCGGCGGAAGGTTAAATCCTGAAAGGCCCTAGTCTCATGGGACAGAGCATTCCACCAAAAGAAAGAAAAGAAAAGAAAAAAGGTAAAGGTAAAGGATCCCTGACAGTTAAGTCCAGTTGCAGACGACTCTGGGGTTGTGGCACTCATTTCACTTTACAGGCTGAGGGAGCCGGCGTTTGTCCGCAGTTTTTCCTGGCCATGTGGCCAGCATGACTAAACCGCTTCTGGCAAAACCAGAGCAGCGCACAGAAACGCTGTTTACCTTCCTGCCGGAGTGGTACCTATTTATCTACTTGCACTTTTGGGCGTGCTTTCGAACTGCTAGGTTGCTGGGACCGAGCAACGGGAGCTCACCCTGTTGCAGAGATTTGAACCGCCGACCTTCTGATCGACAAGCCCAAGAAGCTCAGTGGTTTAGACCACAGTGCCACCCGCGTCCCTCCTTACCATTACTACCAGCCATTAAGGAGAAACTTCAAGGGCACCTGCATTCTTCAACCTGACTGCCTATCTCATTTGCACCCCATCCTTCTACCAAGTAGCCCAGGGCAGAGTGCATTCCTCCTCCTAAGTAAAGCAAAGCAATTTCAGCTGGGGTGCTGGATCCAGTAGTGTAACTACAGTAGGGCAATGGAAGCACCAGATCCCCAATGATTGGAGGGGGAGGCAGGGGGGCAGTCACATTTTGCCCACACAAAATGCCAAGGCAAAACCTTTATCCTTGTGTCTTTCCACATTTCCTTTCCAATATTAATCTGACACGGCTTCAGCTTTTCGTTAGGTCTTCTTTCCCTTTCACCGCATGATTCCAGCCAATCAGAGAGCATGTAGTGGACGTGATGGGCACCGTGTGGCCAATCAGATTTGCCTGTGTGGCAGCGTCACTGAGAACATGCAAAGCAGTGTGAAATGAGCCAAACTGAAAACATGTAAAACGCTTTTTGTTTCCTTAAACTTAAACACACACACACACACACACACACACACACACACACGGCTAGATAAGTGTTGAGGGCACAGAAACTACCTCCACCAAATGCAACATCTACCTTTGCCTTAAGCCATGGGTAGGCATGGTGGCCTCCAAATTTTCAGAGAATCATAGAACTGTAGAGTTGGAAGGGACCATAAGGGTCATCTAGTCCAACAATCTGCAACGCAGGACTATGCAGTTGTCCCATAACGAGATCGAACCTGCAACCTTGGCGCTATCAGCACCATACTCCAACCATCTAAGCAATCAGGCTCCAATTCCTGTTGGACTACAATTACCACTTCCAAGCACAATTCAAAGTGTTGGTGCTGACCTTTAAAGCCCTAAACGGCCTCGGTCCAGTAGACCTGAAGGAGCGTCTCCACCCCCATCGTTCAGCCCGGACACTGAGGTCCAGCGCCGAGGGCCTTCTGGTGGTTCCCTCACTGCGAGAAGCCAAGTTACAAGGAACCAGGCAGAGGGCCTTCTCAGTAGTGGCACCCGTCCTGTGGAACGCCCTCCCACCAGATGTCAAAGAGAAGAACAACTATCCTACTTTTAGAAGACACCTGAAGGCAGCCATGTTTAGGGAAGCTTTTAATGTTTAACAGACCACTGTATTTTAATACTTTGTTGGAAGCCTCCCAGAGTGGCTGAGGAAACTCAGCCAGATGGGCGGGGTATAAATAATAAATTCTATTCTATTCTATTCTATTCTATTCTATTCTATTCTATTCATCAGGCTAAGTTAGCAAAAATGTATAAAAATGTTCCAAATGCACACTGGAAATGCTTTTATGATCCCCACCTTCCAACGCCCCCAAGGGGAGCAGCCTAAAAGCTCATTCTCAGCTGAGTCCTCTGCTGTGCAATATAAGACCTCTGCGTTGTGGGTCATGCCAGTGGACTCTAATTGCAGAATCACAGAACTGTATAGCTGGAAGGGACCATAAGGAACATCTAGTCCAACCCCCTTCCGTGCAGGAATCTTTCACCCAACACGGGGCTTGAACACACGACCCTGAGATCAAGAGTCTCGTGCTCTACCAACTGAGCCATCCCTCAGGATTCTCCCTTAATTTATTTCTCTGTGGTGTGCGGGGCCTTGATAGAGATTTAACAGGAGGCTGAATGAAAGGTGAAATGGCCATTCGTTCTGCACCGAGGAGAATGCAAGTGAAAGGAAACTTGTGTGCAAGGTCCGTGGAACCGATTGCCAAGGAAGCCCATGAAAATCACCTTGACTGGGGGGCGCCCAAGGTAGGGTTAGGCGGCCATCCATCAGCTGCTGTCCCTTCCAGATGGAAGGCTTCCATGATTACTGAGCGCAGGGAGGGAAGCGCAGGGAAAGGATCAGGCCGACCACCACCAACACTGCTTTATTTTCTTCTAGCTAGGCAATAGATCTTCTGTCCCCTGTGGCATACAGCTAAGGGTCAGTTGGTTTCCATTATAAACCTCATTTCCAGAGGGATCATAATTCACCCATTTTACATTCCATGTGGCCGGGACACCTCCCCACCTCCACTTTCCGGCCTGGTAAAACATACCAGTTCCGACTGCCAGAGAAAACCGCTATTTTTTTTGAACCCAGATCTTGCAACAAGCAAGGCTCGGTGGTAGTTTAAACGAAAGCCATAACATTTGGGAGGAGAAGAATTGGGCTGGCCTGTTTTTGGTGAAATGGGGTGGGGGAGAGTAGAGATTCGAGGGGTTCAATTCAAGGTACGTTTGCAAATTTGTTGTGGTTAAGGCCTTTCAGACACTCTTAGATTCTGTCCTGAATGCCAGAGCTCAGTTTTGCGATGATAAAAGTAGATGCAGATGTAGTCATTAGAAAGAAAGCGTCTCTAAGCACGTGCAAATCATTACATCCAGCAAATAGTGCCATCTCAGATCACAGGCAGGGCATCGAGGTTACAGAATGAGACTCCCAGAGGCTCAGGAATTTCATGTGCTGGCTTCAGGTCACATGAGGTCCAATTTAGGGTATTTAAGGAGATGGAGCTGGATTATGAATGTTATAAATGAATAAAAACAGTAAGTGTGAAACTTTGAGGCGGCCACTTACAAGGCTGGGCTCAGACTGGGTGCAAGAGTTTTTAGGGGTTTTTGAATGTTTTATGTAGTTTTATGTAGTTTTGTGGTAGTTTTATGTAGTTTTATATAGTTTTATATAGTTTTTCAATTTCATTGTTCCGCAAGGGGCAATGACAATAAAGATATCGTAATCGTAAGAGAAGAGAGGGCAAATGCTTGGGACTTGGCAAGTTCTGATGTCATTTCAAGCAAGCATCAGAGCCTTATATAGCAGCAGAAGCAGGAGCTGCATCCCCAGTGCCACCCATAGCTCAGTGGTAGAGCATCTGCCTTGCAAGCAGAAGGTCCCAGGTTCAATCCCTGGTGTCTCCAGGTAGTCCTGGTAGAGACTCCTGCCTAAAACCCAGGATAGTCACTGCCGGTCAACATACTGAGCAAAATGGACCAATGGTCTAACTCTGTAGAAGGCAGCCTCTTATTTTCCTATGCATCTATCAGGAGCGAGCCAGCAGTAAATCACTGTGAGCAAGTTGGGGTTAACTCTTCATTAGAAGAAACAGACTCTGCACAGGAATGTCAGGGATAAGGAGCGCAGCAACACATCTCCACTAGGTCTTGCCCTCATGGTACAGTTGCTGAGATTGAAGGTCACTGCCTCCTCACAGCTGCCTAAGCCTCCTCCTCTCCATGGTTTCCCCCAAGCAATCTGAGACTGTGCCTGTGGGAAGCCAACCTCTCTTCTGCCATCTTCATGCCGCTCCTGGTTCTGGGAGACCAGTGGGGAGGGGAGCTTATTGCAGCAGGAAGGGAAGACACCAGCACCTCTTCACCAGCCTGACTCATCTCTGCCTCTTGGCCTCCCTCCTCTCCAGCCTCCTCTTCCGCCTCTGGTTCTGGACTGCTGTCTGCCACAGCCTCTTCCTGCTCACTAAGCCCTGTTGCCTCTTCAGCTTCCGACACCACCTCCTCCCAGTCTTTTCCTGCTTCTGCTGCTGACCACTCATTGTTGTCCCACCACCAATTCATTGGCTCTGAGTCTTCTTCCGTTGGGGGTTCCCCAGCTGGTTCCTCCCACCTTGAGTCCAATCAGTCTATGACCGCATCTTATTTCCTCACTGGAAGGTCCTTTTCCGTTAAAGGGCCCCAGCGTACTCCATCAGTCTAGGCAAAGCAGGGGAGACTCCGGTCTCTCTGCAGCTTCTCTGATGCAGCCCTCTGAGTATGGGGATGGTAACATAGCATTCATCACCTGATTGGAGTGCTTCTGGGGCTGGTTCTGCAGGCCCTATCCTCTTCTGCTTCAGAGTCCTCTCCCTCATCCCCTGAAGGCAAGGAATCAGACTCCAGGGTCACAGCCAACCTTTGCAAAACTTAAAAGTTTCCCCACGTCTGTAGATACCTCTTCCTTGTGTGCAGATAGTGCTCTTTTGGCTACGTATGCAAAAGACATCACCTCTGAACATCCAGAAATAAAAGGAGTGGGATTAGGAATCAAGTACTACTGATCAGTCTCCTCGATGAGGAAGTCAGAGAGCCTAAACTATATTTTCCCCACCCCTCCAGAAGCCCAAACGTTTCAGAAGACACAGGGACAAAAAAAACCCAGCAGAGTCATAAAGTAATTATATATTTTAGGTTCAAAGATGATACTTAAGTGCTGGGAAGAGAAGAAGAAGAATGTGTCAAGCTTAATTCCGTAATAAAATAAAATAAAATAAGGGGCATGCGATTAGACAAGCAATTATACAGCGAGTAGCTTAACATAAATTGTGGGTAAAAATATCAGAAACAATTTTGCAGGATTTAGCATGGGAGCACCTTGTAAAGCATAATTGGATTAGAGAAGACAGACAGCGCGGATTTACAAGGAGGAGGCCTTCTGCCTAACTAACTTGTAGGAGTCCTTTGAAGCAGCTGTTTTAATGGCTGAGGGAGGCGACTGCAATAGTAGTTGTGTGCTTGGATTTCCCAAAAGCAATCAGAGAGGTTGCAGAGTGAGATTAGTGCCTAATGGAAGGAGTTGCAGTATAAAAGGCAGGTTTGCTGGGAAATCAGCTTAGGAAGCAGCCCGTGTGCGAATCAGGAAACTGGGTATATCATGCCAATCCATACAGGATCGTGTCAAGCAGATCATTGCTGGTGTCAATGTATGCTGCAAACATATAATGGATTTACACCAGTTGAACCGTCCTGTCCTCCACCCCAGGAATCCTGGGAGTTGTAGTTTGGTGAGGCTGCTGAGGAGTCTGTCCAGACATCCCTAGCCATCCCTTTGCAGAACAACAATTCACAGGGTTTTGGGGAGACTGGAAGAGACAGCTGAAAGTATTTAAGATTTCAGAGTATTTAACTTGCTAGGGACTTTGCAGTTTTTAGACCCCTCTGCATGCATATTACAGAATCCTTGATTGGTTACTCTACTCCCAATCAGTGAATGCCCATCTATAGCATCCTTGAAATATCAGATCTGCACACTGGCTCTCTGGCAATTTTGAAATTAATATCAAACTTCTAGTCTTCATTGCTAAAATATTTCTCTGGCTAACTAGAATCTGATTCACACACCACGACATTCATCAGGTTAAGGCAAATTGATGTCAAACTATGGCCTCACACAATTTTGTAGCCAGTGAAACACTGGCAGATTTCTCAAGCTCATGCTTAGAATACTGTGTCCAAGATATTGATGAGCTGGAACATGTGCAGAGGAAGGCAAACAAGATGATCAAGGGTCTGGAAACCAAGCCTTATGGGGAATGGTTGAGGGAGCGGGGTATGTTTAGTCAGGGCAAAAAGGAGACCGAGAAGATATAGGATAGCCATCTTCAAATATCTCAAGGGCTGCCCCAAGGAAGATGGAGCAAGCTTGCTTCCTCCTGTTTCGGAGGGTAGGACTCAAACCAAAATGGCTTCAAAGGAGAGATTCCATCTGAACATCAGGAAGAACTTTCTGACAGTGTGAGCTGTTCAGCAGTGGACTGAACTACCTAAGAAGGTGGCGAAAGCTTCTTCCTTGGAGGTTTTTAAGCAGAGGTTGGATGGTTATCTTTCCTCTCTCTCATAGCACTAGAACTCATGAACCTAAATGTTGGGGGTTTCAGGACAGGCAAAAGAAAGTATTTCTTCATGCAGCACATAGTTAATATTATGTATTAAGATTAGCGGCAGTTCTCACTCAGGGCCACCAGTATGCAAATAAAGGATTGAGAACTGTCGCTCACTCATTGGTTAGCTAGTTGGGAGTTGTTGCTGTTACAACTTACTTAGTATTATATAAAGCAGCCAGCTAGGCTGCAATGAGACTGACTCCAGGAGCAGTTCTAACTGCTGTAATAAAGAGCTGGGAATCTAACAGAGCTGTGTCCTTCATCCATCTTTCCCACTATTTAACAGTTAAAATTACGGAACTCCCTCCCACTGGAAGCAGTGATGACCACCACCCTAAAGGTAAAGGTAAAGGGACCCCTGACTGTTAGGTCCAGTCGTGGATGACTCTGGGGTTGCAGCACTCATCTCGCTCTATAGGCCAAGAGAGCCGGCGTTTGTCTGCAGACAGTTTTCGGGTCATGTGGCCAGCATGATTAAGCCACTTCTGGCGAATCAGAGCAGTGCACGGAAACCCAAGGATGCAGGTGGTGCTGTGGTCTAAACCACAGAGCCTAGGGCTTGCTGATCAGAAGGTCGCGCTTCGAATCCCCGCGACGGGGTGAGCTCCCGTTGCTCAGTCCCAGCTCCTGCCCACCTAGCAGTTCGAAAGCATGCCAGTGCAAGTAGATAAATAGGTACTGCTCCGGCAGGAAGGTAAACGACCACCACCCTAGATGACTTTAAAAGAGGATTAGAAAAATTCACAGAGGGATGGCTACTAGCCAGGATGAATACGCTCTGCCTCCACCGTTGGAGACAGCAAAGCTTCCGAACTGCAGTTGCTGAAACCACAAGAGCGGGAGAGTGCTCTTGTACTTCACACAGGCATCTGGTTGGCCACTGTGAGAACAGGACGCTGGACGAGACAGGCCACTGGCTTGACCCAGCAGGCTCTTTTCACGTTCCTTTGTTGTGTCCCGTTTGTGCAAACGCTGTGGTCGGCCCCTCGCTCATTGCCTCTCAGCTCCCCACCTCCTCCCTTGCAGATGTTACCCCGACTTCTTAATAAATCGGTCTGTTTGGCAAAAGTTTAAGCTGAAAATCAATTTTAATTATAAGAAATCGGTGGGCGCCATCAATAAATCAGCGTTTCAAGGGGAAGGTTACACCTGGAGAGATACAGGGAAAGAGGAGGGAGTCGGGGGTTTTTTTGCAGCTCAGTCTGTCCCAGTGCCAACCCTCCATGTTGCCTGGTACAAAATCCATCACCATCATTATACCCCCAGTATTATTAATGTTGTTGCAGTCTGATGAATGGCACATGAGCAGGTCTTGAACAAATAGCTCTGGGTTGCAACTTGATTTCCGAATGACCCTCCTGTCAAGAGGCCTTGTTTTTTATTATCAAGGGGGTGTAAGCGGGGGGCGTGGCAGGCAAAATAATTCATTGTGTCTTCTTATTTGAGGCAAACGATTGTTCAAGCTGGGTAATGGAGAGCTAATTAATCCTTCCTCTCCGGACACTGCAATGCATCATGTTTCCCATTATAAGAGGACCGTTTAAATGCATTATGATTATAATTATGGGTGCTTTGCAAAAGGCAGGCTCATAATGGGGTTGGGAAGGGGCCTTGTTTTCAGGACTTTGATGGCAATTGGTTCACAAAGGGGAGCCCGGCGGGGGAGAACGGGAGCTTGTAATCAAGGGTTATGAATGGGGATGGATTCTTGGGCCACCTGATGTGGCAATCTAAAAAAAGAAAATAAAAAAAAACAGGGCAAGAGGATCCCTTTGAACCACCTGACCCAAAGCTGCACACCTTTAACCAAGAGGTAAAGAGACCCCTGACCATTAGGTCCAGTCGTGGCCGACTCTGGGGTTGTGGTGCTCATCTCGCTTTATTGGCCGAGGGAGCCGGCGTACAGCTTCCGGGTCATGTGGCCAGCAGGACTAAACCGCTTCTGGCAAACCAGAGCAGCGCACGGAAACGCCGTTTACCTTCCCACTGGAGTGGTACCTATTTATCTACTTGCACTTTGACATGCTTTCAAACTGCTAGGTTGGCAGGAGCAGGGACCGAGCAACGGGAGCTCACTCCGTCACGGGGATTCGAACCGCCAACCTTCTGATTGGCAAGTCCTAGGCTCTGTGGTACATTGCACCATATATGGTCCAGCTTCTAGCAAAATATAGGACCCACATCATTTCTGAAATAATAGGTTGCTTTGAGCTGTTTTAAATATTGTGTTTTAATGCTAATGTTGTGTTTTGATTGTAACTCGCCCTAGGAGTTTTGGGTGAAGGGCGGGAAATAAATTGTAGGAGGGGGGAGAAGCAAGGCACCATTTGGTTGGAGAATCGTGTCGCCAATTTGGAGAAGTGCTCAGATTGGTTCCAGAAATGCAGATTGGTTAGTTTGTTAAAACGCAAACAAAATCTAAAATTCTCCTCCAGCCCTGTTTGGGAGAGAGTCCCGCTGAATTCAACGGGCCTTGCATCCCGTTAAAAAATGTGTGGGCTACAATGCAACACACTGGGATTTACTTCTAGGAAAACAAGCCTACAACTAGACTGCTAATCTGCAGACATGCTTACCTGGGAGTAAGTCTCATTGCAGACAGCGGGGCCCTGCGTCAGGACAAAGATGTGCTGGATTAGGCTGTAGAGTGTTAAGGGGTCTGGACTGGAGTGCAGATTCCTCAACAAGTTTTTTAAACTTTGTTTCCTAGAAGCAGCAGCTTTAAATTTGAGATTGAAAGGTAAAGGTAAAGGGACCCCTGACTGTTAGGTCCAGTCGCGGATGACTCTGGGGTTGCGGCGCTCATCTCGCCTTAATGGCCAAGGGAGCCGGCGTACAGCTTCCGGGTCATGTGGCCAGCATGACTAAGCCGCTTCTGGTGAACCAGAGCAGCACACAGAAATGCTGTTTACCTTCCCGGTGAAGAGGTACCTATTTATCTACTTGCACTTTGACGTGCTTTCAAACTGCTAGGTGGGCAGGAGCAGGGACCGAGCAACGTGAGTTTACCCCATCGCGGTGATTGGAACCACCGACCTTCTGATCAGCAAGTCCTAGGCTCTGTGGTTTAGACCACAGCGCCACCCGTGTCCCTAAATTTGAGATTAAGGCCCACCAAAATAAACCTGTCTTCTGAACAAATTATGGAAGGATTAGGCCCTCAGAGACTGTGTAAAAAGCATTAAAGGAGTAGATTTTCCCCATTCAAGAAAAAATGCTCTGAAATCGAGAATTTGCATGTTTGTGAATTGAAAAGGGGAGGCTTTATTCTGCAAGGCGGATTAGGGCACATGCAATCGGCTCTGATGGTGATGTTAGTTAATCCAGATTAATTAAGGCAGCTTCTTAAAAACATGCCCTCTTGTGCTCACAGACAACAAAGAGTCTTGTGGCATCTCAGTAGAGAGAAAATGCAGAGAAGCAGGCAAAGCGTTCAGAATCTATGGTTTGTCTCTCTTAGATTCCCTCAATGCACTTTAAATCAAACCTAGCTAGGACTGATTTGTTTGGGTGTACAGTGGTACCTCGGGTTACACACCCTTCAGGTTACAGACTCCGCTAACCCAGAAAAAGTGCTTCAGGTTAAGAACTTTGCTTCAGGATGAGAACAGAAATCGTGCTCCGGCAGTGCGGCGGCAGCGGGAGGCCCCATTAGCTAAAGTGGTACTTCAGGTTAAGAACAGTTTCAGGTTAAGAACGGACCTCCGGAACGAATTAAGTACTTAACCCGAGTTATCACTGTACATCGCTTTGGGTTGCCCTGGTCAAGATAAAGTAGTTTAAAAATTCAGCGAATAAATAAATGATCATATGCATCTAAACACAAACTACCTACTTCACACTTTTCAAACCGAGACATAAAGTGAAACTCAGATAGCCTTTAAAATTTCACTCTTCTTTGAATTTTGCACTGCAGCTCTCCAGTCCACAAGGAATGTGTACAAAAAACCATGCTCTATGGTAAAGTGTGCATTAAAATGCATATATTAGTGGAAAAAATAGCATATTAAAATGCATCACATCAGGGGAAATAGCTTTTCAAAAATGATATTAGGGAAAATGGGATATAAATATGAGTATATTATGAAAAATTCATATTAAAATCCTGATGAACTTTCAGGATCGATACACACACACACACACACACACACACACCCAAACTGATAAGGAAATGCAGAGAACTGAATCTAAGACTGAAATGGAGAGAAACCAAAATGGAGAGAAACCAAAAGTGAGACCATTTGCCCATCCCAAGTTCCAGGTTTTATCCCTCATTTACCAAGAGGAAAATGAGGCACAGAAGTACTAGCTGGGTATGATATGGGAATTCCAAGGTAGGTTGGGTCTTTTGGTTGCCACCAAAGTGAGGCGAAGAAGAAGAAGAAGAAGAGGAGGAGGAAGAGGAGGAGGAGGAGGAGGAGGAGGAGGAGGAGGAGGAGGAGGAGTTTGGATTTGATATCCCGCTTTATCACTATCCTAAGGAGTCTCAAAGTGGCTAACAATCTCCTTTCCCTTCCTCCCCCACAACAAACACTCTGTGAGGTGAGTGGGGCTGAGAGACTTCAGAGAAGTGTGACTGGCCCAAGGTCACCCAGCAGCTGCATGTGGAGGAGCAGGGAAGCAAACCTGGTTCACCAGATTACAAGTCCACCGCTCTTAACCACTACACTGCACTGGCTCCCCATTCTGGATCTAGCCCATCTCCCCATCTTTACTTGGAAGCAAACCCCACTGACGAATCCAGAAATTCCTGTGTGGGATTTGATCCCATACCAGTAAATTCAGGTTGCCCAATTACTTTGGATTTGGTGCTCTATGCAAGAAACACGCTTCCACCCTCTCCAAGAACATTTTTTGTAGTAAGGAAAGTGAGGGATAACAATTGTTTGATGTGATGTCATATAATCTCCACGCCAAGAATGCTCAATAAACAGCTGGGTTTTGCAAAACCTTTGGCAAACATCGTGCAAAAAATATTAAAATCAGAAGAATTCTCAAAAAACAGTGAGTATTGTGTAACCTTCTGGCACACTTTTTTTGGGGGGGTGGGGGAGAAAAGAAATATAATCAGAATAAATTCTCAATAAACAGCCAGGTTTGCATAACCTTCTTGGAAATTTTGTGCAAACCCTGCACAAACACCCACAGGCATGCTCAATTATTATTATTTTTAAATGATATTTATTAAAGTTACAAAAAATAGAATACAAAATACAGAAAAAAGAGTAAAGTTTTTAAAAATATAACAAAAAAGTAAAGGATAAAAAGAAACATACAAAATAAAACAGTTAAAAAGACATTAATTTTCCAAACCTATCTTCTCTAGACTTATTTCCCCGGACCTCCTCATACCTCCCTTTTTTGTATTCCAGTTCAGTTTGTTAGTTCAGCAAATCCTTACCATTAAACTTTTGCCCAATTGTAAGCCTTTTTTCATATCTCTTAAAGCATTACAGCTAAAAAGCTCTTAGTTTCTGTCCAACATCCTTCTAAGATTCCTTAATTTTACAATATTTCTGTAAATAGTCTTTAAATTTCTTCCAGTCTTCTTTCACCGACTCTTTTCCCTGGTCTCGGATTCTGCCAGTCATTTCCGCCAGTTCCATGTAGTCAATGCTCAATTAACAGGTTATCTCAAAGCTACCTTTGAGCCACAACCCAAGCACTCTTCTGAAATGGGTGAGACCCTCCCAGTTTGCACTGAGTCCGTGTCTTATACTGCCAAATCTGCACACAAATTCCAACTCAGGTGCTTGGCCCCAGAGTCTTTCTGCCTTTTGCTGATATACAACAACTTTCAAGCCTTGGCTTCGCCATACTTCCGTTTGCCCTGGTGCTTTTCCCCAGGAAGAGCTGCTCTTTACTACTGAATCAGAGTAAATGTCAACCGACTTTTCCACAGATTGTTGTTTTTTGTTTTTTTTAAATAAATTGTTATTAAGTTTTACACAAATATCTCCAATTAAACAATTTCCCAATTGTTTTACACAAATATCTCCAATTAAACAATTTCCCAATTAACATATTTTCATCTTTTGGACTTCACTCAGCTTCTCTGACAATCATCCGTATTTAAATTTATTATCTACACATTCCCCAAAATTAGTATCGCCTTTTAAGATACCTTTACAAACATATTTGCATTCTTGCAATATTTCTTATTTTTTCACAAAGCCTCTTTAAAACCCACTAGCATTGTTTGCTCATCACATACACTCTTCAAATACTCCACAGATTGTTGTTTGCTCCAAATCAGCACCAAAGAGCAGCTCTTCCTGGAGGAAGCAGCAGGGCAAATGGAAAACCACTTGAACCTGCGCCTAGACAGCCCAGGACAAGTGAGAAACTGCTCAGACCTGCTCAGAAACTATGCAAGTGAAGTGTGGATGAGCACTGAGTTACTGAATCCCAAACAGTTTCAATGCTAGAGTTCCTCATAGCTTGGTGGTTCGCATGAGGAAGTTTCTAGGTTCAATTCCTGACATCTCCAAAAAGGCCTGGCAGACAACCCTGCCTGAAACCCAGGAGAATTGGATGAAACTGCAGCAGCAGTCCACAGCATCTTGCTTGGTGCACTGCATTGGCTGACCCGCCACTAAATTATGGTTGTATGTTACATGCACAAGCATCATCATGCCTCTGACATGCATGTTTCCTCTGCCCTCTAGTACAGCCACAAGGAGGAAATTGGAAGCATACACTTTCGAAGTAACAAGGGTTCTTTGTTGCATCTGAACTCTGGTTAGTTTAATTTACAGTCTGTTAACAAACCAGGGTCAGAAACCATGGCTTGTTCAAACCAATGTTTAAAATAACCAGAGTTTCCCTGAGTTCAGAGGGGAAAAGGAAATATTTTTAAAGTGGAAGCAAAAAGTTTTGATCTCATGACATACCTGTGGAGGTAAAAAGTGGGGGGATATGAGTTGGGGAGGGCATCAATTAATCCCTGTTTAGTGTTACATCCCCCAAAGACCGCTGACTGAACTAACTAGCCGTTTCTTCCATTTCTTTCTGTTATGCTCAGAGATTTCTGGGGCAAAAGAGCAAGTATCGTAGTAATCTCTTGAAGCTTGCCGCCCCCAATTTGGGTTTTCTGTGCTTTGCTAGCAGCTGTTCCACAGTTGCAGAGTTGCCAAGAGATCTGCGAAAAATGTGTAATGTCTCTTGTAAATGTCTTAAGAGCAAATAGCTGGGGCAAACACTCCAATTAGGAAGGTGGAAGAAAAACCTACACTAAGGCTCGACGGCTGTGACTTTTGCAAGAGCCAGCGAGCGAAAAAAGAGACACCAAGAGAATGTCTCTCTAATTAGACCTGGCGACTGTGAGCACAAAATGTTAGTTGGGCCTCCATTGGTGAAGTCCAGCAGATCGTAACTTAATTCAAAAGTGCAGGGGAAGGGAGTTTTGGTTCCAATGTTTATGCATGTTTGGACTACTGTAGTTGAAAGGACAGTTCCACAAAGCGTGGGTGCTTTTCCTAACTAAGAAATAAAACAGGCTTGTTAAAACAACATTTTAGTGGTCCAGGAACACGGCTCTTAGCTCCTGGAGCTCCTGCCAGCATAAATTTTAATTCCCAAAGTACTGAAACACAAGTTCAGTGCATGACAACAAATATGAGGGTCAAGCTATGCTTTGCATGAAGTTCTGTCTCCAACCCAGAATTCAGGATGGAGAAAGGAAAGCTGGAGAGTCTGCTTAACCTTAAGATATGGAGGCCCCAGATATTCCTCAAATTTCCTCCCAACCTGCTTCAACATCTGGAATAACAGCATGGGGCAGGTACAGTGAAGAGTTAAGCGGTCCTCCTTTGCTCTACCTGAACCACTGTCTGCCCAGGGTAAATTTGGGTTTCAAAAACAGTGCAGAACTGCAATGTCAGGTGCAGCTTGAGCCTAGAATGTGGGAGAACACTCCCAATGATTATTTTGGGGCGTTCTCAGCCAGCAGGATCATGAGATGATGGGCTGAAGGCACTGCCTTGGACGGTGTTTGGGTTCCTGTTTTGGGGTGGCAAATTGTAGCCACCATCCTGTTGCCAGTACTGACAACAGGAAGGAAGAAGTACCTCCAGGTGGCAGGTGTGGAGATTATTCTCAGTCTTCCTTGGGCAGGTAGGTACGTGCAGGTACCAATCTTGGAGATGAAGTGTTTCAAGAAGAACAACCACCTGGTACATGCATGGAGCCATCTGGAAGCCACTTCCACCACAGAGAAGTCCACTCCACTTCACAGTGGGGAGGAGTTGCGGTGGGCCACGTGGTCACCACTCTCCTCCGGGGGCGGGGGACGAAGTCCCGCATTGCCCGGGAGATCCCGGCCATGTCATTGCCCAGCCGGCCAATCTGGTGGCTGGGGGGCATGGCCGGGGCAATTTAAGCTTTGGCATGAGCTGGAGGGCCCCTTCTTTGCTCGCTTCCTTTAAACTCCTGCCCTCCCTCCCTATTTTACAGGTTGCTGTTCATTGGCCTTGCTATGGACCCTGGTTGGTCGCCATTGAGGGACCTGGTAGGAATTTTTCCACTTGGCAAAATTGGCATAGGGCCATTTGGTTTTCGCCTACCTCGTAGCAATCGTCACAACTTTGTAAGGTTTTGCGGTTAGGCATTGTTTGACCTTTTGATGGGGGAGGGGAGGTACGGCCATCACCTGCCCCTCCAACCTTAAGGGTATTCCATTAAAGGAATCCGGGGTGTGTGGATCTTGTCTGAAGCTTGGGGCAGGGCTAGGGCCATGCCACGATCCCAACGGGAACATCTGGGGGAGCCCAAGTTGGTCTGCATCGATGGGGCTCCCCTTTCTGGTGGTTTACCCTTACTGGACTTCCTGCACAGCGGGCAGGAGTCAGATATAGTCGGGTTCATTCAATGCCTAAGCCAATACCACTCACAGTCTGTAATCAATAAGGTTGTGGCCAAAATTTGCCCAATAACATTAACATAATATTTGTGTCCTGGTGTCTTCTTTCCAAGGGGGTGGTTACGGGGTCTAGACACGGAACAGGTTTTTAATATCCAGTTTTAGAGTGACTGTTTTTTTTCCTTCTAGGCCTGAGATGAGAAGGTGATGTAATTTGTTTCTAAAGCACCAACTAACTTGGAGACTTCCACTGACCATGCAACTGTTAAAAGTATAGAAGCAGAGGGCAGTCCAAAGGTGGCAACCTTTCGTGGCAAAAATACTTCTTTGCCCATGTTGATCAAGCATAACCAGAAGAAGAGTTTTAGCCAAGCCTTCTTGTTTGCAACTTTTTCACATGCTGGGAGCCTTTTACACGGAGTAGCATTCAAGCAATGGAGAACTATCGTTTAATGCCAGCTTACTAACCAGGATCTTAAACCAACTTTAAACCATGTTTTAAGAACCTGGTTGAATAAACTGGCATTAAACCATGGTTCCCTGTTGCAGATGTAACAGTTAACTGTGATTTAATTAAACCTGGATGTAAGCACTGATGAGAGAGGAAGAGAGCGGTGAAGAGGAACATGCAATGCCAGCATTCATTCCTCCCTGCTAAGGCTATGATTTTGCAAGCCATAAATTTATTGTGTTAACCAAGTTGATGTTTGGAAGCTGAACTCTATTCATATAACTAGCTATATAGTTCAACCATGTGAAACAGATGTAAAAGAATTTCATGGCTTATTTTGCCTTCCGATTTAGCTTTGTCCACATGTGTCAATTTTTCTAAGTGCTAAAGGTCTGCTGCATATCCTGTTTAAGAAGATGGGTGGGGGAGTTATAGGGAGTCTGTGCCAATTTGTTTTTAAAACCCACTTTACTGATCCATTCCTTTCCTCCGAGTATTGGATTTTATGCTGGAGAAGGGGAAAATATTTTATTGCTATTTTTCATCTCTTCATTTTTTCACTTTTACTGAATAAAAGTACAACCGGGCCCAAGAGGTGGATGCTTTTAACATTGCTAAAGAAAGAAAGAAAAACCTCAGACCTTATTTCCATAGCATAAGCTAGCCAGAAGTTCCCCAGTGTAAACCCCAAAGAAATCAATGTGCTCCCAGCAATTCCCAGCAGATGTGTGTTCCAAAGCAAATGAGAAAATACCAAATAGGAGCACAGGGAGCCACCTTACATTGCCTCATCTAGTTCTGTATTGTCTTCTCAAGAGTTTGAGGACAGAGGTCATCTGCAGCCCTACCTGGAGATACTGAAGCTGAGACCTGCTTCTTGCAAAGCATATGACATTCAGAACCTTTTGCCTCTGGCCAACAATCAACATGTCATTTGAGAAGACTCTGGTGATTGGCTGGACTGCTCCGCATCACAATGGAGTAGGGCGGACTCTGGTAGTCATTGGCCAAGCTAGATGCTAGAGATGGCTGGGGCAGGCAGACCAGAAGCTACAACAGACATTATGTGAATGTGTTTTTTGATGAACTGATTGGAAGACTATGAGTCTTCCACAGTCACACAGGTGAGTGTGTGTGTGACTTCAGTAGCGCTCAGCTTGTTTTTGGTTGTTAGCTAGTTAACGTTGCTAAGTTTTGTGGGTTATGAGAGTTGTAATGTTTTGTGAATTTTATAATATGACTTTTCTTGTGGCTGTGCTGTTTATCTAATTTTCTAAGTTTTTTTAAAAATAGTGTTTTATAGAAGGTGGGGGTTTTTACTGATGATTTGTTGATTGTTTTATATAATTTACGTTGCCGTTGCGATGCTCTACTGTGTCACTTATTGTATGTAAGCCTCGTTGCGACTCAGGTGAGTGAAAAGCCACATAGAAATATAATAAATGAAAAATGAATTGAAATGAGAAGTCTAAGAGAAGGAGGAGGGACTAGGAAGAGCTCACGACCGCCCCACATTTAGTTCAAATTCGTTTAGTTTCTATACAAACTAGCGTCACCACAGCTCGCACTTAAATCAGGCAGGCACCCACAATTCTCATACTTTGCCCCCTATGCTCTGTGTTCTTCTTCTTCTTCTTTGGTGATCCCTCGTAGCCAAGTAAGATTGTCTTCCATAAACACGGTTTTAACAGTGAGTCCGTAAGTGACTGTGGAGGCCAATTCTGGATCCACACGTCCTTCCGCAGTGGGGGCATTGGTTTCCAGGTGGGAGTTGATCACGGTGTGGATTCGCCAAGCATGCCTTCCTCTTAGCACATTTCTCCCTTGCGTCTTGAGTTTGAGTGTCTTCAAAGCCCATGACACCTTTGGTAAAGGCTGTTCTCCAACTGGAGCACTCACAGGCCAGTGTTTCCCAGTTGTCAGTGTTTATACTACCCTTTATTTAGATTTGCCTTGAGACAGTCTTTAAACCTCTTTTGTTGACCACCAGCACTATGCTTTCCATTTTTAAGTCCGGAATAGAGTAGTTGCATTGGAAGACGATCATCTGGTATCCGCACAACATGACCAGTCCAACAAAATTGATGTTGAATAATCATTGCTTTGACACTGCTTGATCTTTGCTTCTTCCAGTACACTGGTATTAGTTCCCCTGGCTTCCTAAGTATGTGTAAAAATTTCCGGAGACACTGTTGATGGAATCTTTCGAGGAGCTGGAGATGGCATTTATAAGTGGTCCATGTTTCACAAGCATATAGTAAGGTTGGTAGTACAATAGCTTTGTAAACAATAGCTTTGTAAACTTAGTAGGTGCCCCAAAGAACACTTCACAGAAGCATTTCACACGACACATGGTTAAACTATGGAGCTGTGTCCCACAGAAGACAGTGCTGGCCAACAACTTGGCTGGCTTTGGACAACTCAATGGACGGTAAGGCTTTCAGTGCCTACTAGCCACAATAACTATGTTCGCTCTCCACTGTCGGATGTGGTAAAGGTACAGGTAAAGGGACCCCTGACCATTAAGTCTAGTTGCGGACGACTCTGGGGTTGCGTCTCTCATCTCGCTTTATTGGACGAGGGAGGAAGCATACAGCTTCTGGGTCATGTGGCCAGCATGACTAAGCCACTTCTGGCGAACCAGAGCAGCGCACGGAAACACCATTTACCTTCCCGCCAGAGTGGTACCTATTTATCTACTTGCACTTTGACATGCTTTCGAACTGCTAGGTTGGCAGGAGCAGGGACCGAGCAATGGGAGCTCACCCCATTGTGGGGATTCGAACTGCCAACCTTCTGATCAGCAAGCCCTAGGCTCTGTGGTTTAACCCACAGCGCCACCAGATGTGGTAGGCCTCTCTAAATGCCAGTTGCAGATGAACTGCAAATAGAGAGAGAGTGCTGTTTTGCTCAGATACTGCTTTTTGAGTTTCCCACTATTGGCTACTGTGAGAACAGGAGGCAGTGGTTTAACACTCTCTCTCTCTCTCTCTCTCTCTCTCTCTCTCTCTCTCTCGTACACAGACATCAAAATTAGTCTTTAGACCTATTTTGTACCAGGAGACCTTGCCCTCACGCAGGAGGCTCCGACAACCTCTGTATCGCCGCCTACCTTAGAGACAGACAGATACTTCCCCTGCCTTGAGGGGAAGAGCAATTTATTTGGCTGCGCAAAGAGTTTGCCCAACGGATCAGGTGAAGGGAGGGAAGAGCCACCTCAGATCTAATCTCAGGGATGTGGGCCAATTCGTCATGCATGAAATGCAGTCAGCCGTCCCTTCCTCCTGCGCTGCTTCCAAAAACTTATTATCAGCAAAGCAAGGTGGAGCAGGAGCTGAAACTGGGAGGCAAAAAGCAATGACTGTGGAATGGGCTACGCAGAAGAACAGAAATGGATTCTTTCGGGGTGGGGTAGTGTTTTAAATAAAGCCCACTGCTGCCTTTAACTACGTGTGGAGCTGAGATTCAAGGGAAGGGAGAGGAGGAGGGCTGGTGCAAGGGGAAAGCCAGCCTAGCCCATCCACCAACCAGAGGAGCAGCAGGAGCAAGGACCTTTGCCCTTTGATGAGAAGAACTAGAGCTCAATGGTAGAACATGCATGCTATACATACAGAAGGTCCCAGATTCGATCCTCATCATTTCCAGGTGGGGCTGAACATGGTCCCTGTCTGGAACCCTAGAGGGTGCAGACTTGTGGTTCTCAAAGGGTGCGGCAGGAGAGTAGAGTTTGGATTTTGGATTTGATATCCCGCTTTATCACTACCCTAAGGAGTCTCAAAGTGGCTAACATTCTCCTTTCCCTTCCTCCCCCACAACAAACACTCTGTGAGGTGAGTGGGGCTGAGAGACTTCAGAGAAGTGTGACTGGCCCAAGGTCACCCAGCAGCTGCATGTGGAGGAGTGGAGACACGAACCCGGTTCACCAGATTACGAGTCCACTGCTCTTAACCAATACACCACACTGGATGGCAAGTGTCATTACTGGGGTGCGGGGATTGACAAAATGACAAAAATATGAGGTGGTTTTTTTTAAAAAAATGGGGTCACAAAACTTTTTAGTTCAGTCAACAAATGGAAAGAAACGTGGCTGGCACTGGGCGCCACACCACTGGGGCCGGCACTTACTGTGGGGTCTGCAGCGTGCCCGAGCAACGTGGCTCTCCTGGGAGTGATGTGGTGGCTTGGGTGCCTGTAGGCTCTGCGCTGCCTGAAATGGAAGCACATGGCTTGTGCCTGCCCTCCGCCTCTCTCTCAGCCCCCCTACAGTTGAGGGTGAGGTGGTGGAAAGGCTCCACGCAGTGCACCCCACCCTCATTCTCCGCAGCGCTTTAGCAAAAATGCTCAGAGTTCCAGGTTCTTCAGTGCAGTATATTTATTGTGAGCTATACGTGGGTGGTGCTGTGGGTTAAACCACAGAGCCTAGGACTTGCCGTTCAGAAGGTCGGCGGTTCAAATCCCCACGACGGGGTGAGCTCCTGTTGCTTGGTCCCAGCTCCTGCTAACCTAGCAGTTCAAAAGCACATCAAAGTGCAAGCAGATAAATAGGTACCGCTCCTGCGGGAAGGTAAACGGTGTTTCCGTGCGCTGCTCTGGTTAGCCAGAAGCAGCTTAGTCATGCTGGCCACATGACCCGGAAGCTGTACACTGGCTCCCTTAGCCAATAAAGCGAGATGAGTGACGCAACTCCAGAGTCGGTCACGACTGTACCTAATGGTCAGGGGTCCCTTTACCTTTATATATATAAATATCTACAGGCTATAATACACGAGCAGTTCATACAGTCAAACAGAGTACCTGGCTGCACCTTAAGGCAAAAAGGAAGACCTTTCTATCTCTCTCTCTCTGACCACACTCTTCTAAACCACTACCTTTACTGCTGGACAGGTTTCCCTTTTAAACCGATGACAGCCAATCAACTGGCAGCACATTACTGCTGAGTCTTTCTGACCCAGCACTTCCATAGAAAGTATTGCAGGCTGGTTGCATCAGCCAGTTGCATCAACTGGCAAACTCAAGCCTGCAGACTTACTATCTCACACAGCATTCTGTGGATCCTGACAGGCTCGCCCAGCCCCTGGATGCAGGATGCGTGCACCGCACCCAGCACCCAAGCGGCTAGCTATGCTGCTGTGCAGATGCACCAGCGCATTCCTTCTCTCTCTGCTCCTCCCAGCGGCCATGTGGTCACCACTGTGGCTATACAACTTGACTGATTGTCTCCAGGTGTTATGGTCATCTGCAAGGGATTCCCACATGGTGGGGTTAATGTTGACATCCTTCTTGTCATGTCTCCAGGCATCTTTGTAACAGAGAGTTGGGTCTGCCAATGGGCCTGGTGCCGGAACTCAGCTCCCCGTAGAGCGTGTCCAAAAACAGTACTTTAAAAGCATTGGCTATTTTTCTACAGTTCTCCACGACATGTTGTTGTGAACAAGGATTTTCAACTCTGACAAATAGGAAAGGTCAGAAAAGAGAAAGGCTTCTTTGTGCTGATGAGAGCTTGTTTCAAATTAGACCTACTGTAAATGAGATTACCAGGCAAAAGCGAGCTCTCGCCTCTCATTCAGTTTGTATACATACTTAAGGTACATATGTAAGAGGCTTGTTTATAATTATATTTTGGGAATGGTTAGTGTTCTTATATTAGCTGCATCGTTTTATACTTTCTGGATGTCCCAAGGTTGTATTATAAAGTAGTTGTGTTCTGTGTCAAAAATCAAGCACGGCTAGGAGTTGCTTCTTTTCGTTTTCCAATGGATTTCTTACCAATAAAATATGTGGAGCAGCACAAGCAAAGTTTGATTCTGAAAGTGTGGTCCAGAGAACATATCTTGAGATCCACTGGTGAGAATGGACCAGTAAGTCTGGCTTGGTAGCTTCCTGAGTTCCTAGACTCCTTCCTTGCTCTCAGCTAGAAAGAACAGCCAGTTGCCCATAGTCCTTAAGACAGCTGTAGCAAGTCAGATACAGTAGTACCTCGGGTTACAGACGCTTCAGGTTACAGGCGCTTCAGGTTACAGACTTTGCTAACCCAGAAATAGTACCTCAGGTTAAGAACTTTGCTTCAGGATGAGAACAGAAATTGTGCTCCGGCGGTGTGGCGGCAGCAGGAGGCCCCATTAGCTAAAGTGGTGCTTCAGGTTAAGAACAGTTTCAGGTTAAGTACGGACCTCCGGAACGAATTAAGTGCTTAGCCTGAGGTACCACTGTACTGGACTTCAAGTCAGCCTTCTCCAGCATGGCAACCTCTAGATATTTTGCACTCCAACTCCTATTAGCCCCAGCCAGCAAGGAAAGTAGTCGGGGATTGTGGGAGTTGTAGTCTAGCGGAACCTGGCCTTGAGGGACATTTAGTCTGATCTGGGTATGATGATGATGATGATGATGATGATGATTATTTATACCCCACCCTTCCCGGTGTAAAACAGGGCTCAGGGCAGCTAACAGCAAATATAAAACATTGATTAAAATGCGACTTAAAAACACCATAAAACAGCATAAAATACAACATAAAATGCAGCATCAATACCAATAAAATTCAAAAATTCAGGGGTCATTTTTTTGGGGGGGGGGGGAGAAAAAAAACCCAGTCAGTAGACATCAAATGATCACCAGGGCTAAGTGGCCAAGTTGGCCCTACTAGGGCCAGCAAGGAGACCAGGGAAGAATTTAAATGTGGGGTCCCAGAAAGGGTTTCTTCATGGAAGAGGAAAGGGAAAAGGGAATAGAGGATCAGGCTAATTCAAATTGAAGGCCAGGCGCAATAGCTCCGTCTTACAGGCCCTGAGGAAGGAGATCAAGTCCTGTATGAGGTAGCATCCAACATCTGTTTGAGGCTAGAGGGACCACTCACTCCCTAGCTACTCTCAAAGCAACCCACGTGCTGGAAGAGTCCTGCTAAGTCAGGCCAAGACTCCATCTTGTTTTCAGAAGTGGGCCAGCTTCCATGTGCCAGAACCAGAGGCTATGAGCATCACACAAAAGTCCCTAACGCAGAGAAATCCGCTCTGGTCATCTCCAGCAAGCAATTCCATCCCTGCACCACACAAGGTAAGATAAGGTGGCTTCCTCCTTCTCATCCTCTCTGATGGTACCAAACAATAATGGTGAAAATTGCTGTTTTCATTTTAAAGGAAAAGTAGACAGACTCCAAATTCTATGGAAAGGAGATCTAACTTCTGCAGCCAGAATTAATTAAACGAATTAAGGGAAATCTGCATTTGTGTACTTAGCACAACTCCACATGAAATACTCAGGGTTTCAAGGAAACTGGATCTTTCCCTCCCTCGCTCCCTCCTGGCAAAAACTGGAGATAAGTAGAACAAGGAGGGGTGGAATGGAGAAGTGCTGTTTGCAAAAATGGAAGGACTACCCAGCCCAGTTTGAGAACTGTCAGACTGAACGGGTGTCCTTTTGTGAGATCGTTGGCAAGGCACATAATCCTCTCTTGCAAAGATTCCAAGGAATATTTATTTTCAGTACAGTTTATTTTTTAGGTACAGGTTGAATGGGTATTAACCCAGGCAAGCAACACTAATCCCAAAGCTACAAATTACAGGATTCTCCTAGAGCCTTCCTCCACCTGCTTTCCTGTTTTAGACTACAACTCCCATCAACATCGCAGATCCAGAAGAGGTTTAGTCATGCTGGCCACATGTCCTGGAACGCTGTCTGTGGACAAACACCAGCTCCCTTGGCCTGAAAAGCGAGATGAGCACCGCACCCCATAGTTGCCTTTGACTGGGTTTAACCATCCAGGGGTCCTTTACCTTTTTATCTTTTTACCATAGATGATGGGAATTGTAGTTCAAAAGCACTGGAGCTCATGAGGTTGGGGAAAGAAGAAGAGGAGGAGGAGGAGAAGGAGGAGTTTGGATTTGATACCCAGCTTTATCACTACCTGAAGGAGTCTCAAAGCGGCTAACATTCTCCTTTCCCTTCCTCCCCCACAACAAACACTCTGTGAGGTGAGTGGGGCTGAGAGACTTCAGAGAAGTGTGACTAGCCCAAGGTCACCCAGCAGCTGCATGTGGAGAAGCGGGGAAGCGAACCCGGTTCACCAGATTACGAGTCAACCGCTCTTAACCACTACACCACACTGGCTCTAGGTCTAGGGCATGGAGCAGGAATGACAGACCCTCCAAGTGTCCCTATTATCCAGGGACATCCCTGATTTAGAGAAGCCATCCCAGTTTCTGATTTGATCCCCGAATGTCCCACTTTTCCTTAGGATGTCCCTATTTTCACTGAAGAAATGTTGGAGGGCATGGTAAGATGTCTCTATTTTCATTGGAGAAATGTTGGAGGATATGGAGTTATCCAGCCCCTGAGCTGCCTGAAGGCAATCTTTATAAGGAAGTCTTTTTTAATGTTTAATGTTTTATACATGTTGGATGTCGCCAGAGTGGCTGGGGCAACCCAATAAGATGTGTGGGGTATAAATAGTAAAATTATCATTCTGGAATGGGACGTCCCTATTTTCATTGGAGAAACCTGTTCCCTTCAGCCCCAGTCAGCATAGCCAATGGTCAGGGTTGATGGGAGTTGTAGTCCAATACTATCTGGGGGTGGGCATAGGTTCCCCACTCTTGGCCTAAACTCACATCTTTTTTTTTCACTGCTATTTATACATACACTCAGACCAATCCCAACCACCCTGCTCCAGAATTGGGTTGTATTGGGAGCACCTCAAACTACGTTGAAAAATAACTGAGAATAACATGAGTCTTAATGGCTCGCCTGCACCCAATTCTCAACAAAAATCCTGGAAAATCTTAGCTTTTCATTTCAGTAAAAAAGAAAGCAGTTATTGCTTCCAGCCCACAAGTCTGGAAAGTGTCCTTACTATTCTTGTACTCTCTTGTGGCAGAATGCTAAAAACACACAACTATTGAGTTGCTACTACAGGTTTGTAATCAATTTTTAAAAATATTGTCAAAGAGAAAATTTAGTTTTAGGTTGTTGTTTTTTCCATGGAATTAAAAATAAAATAAAAATGAAGTCTAGACCTGTGCATCTCCATCCCAAAAGGATGTGGGCCAGTTTGTTAAACACTGGATCCTCTGAGCTGGCTAGCACAGTGCGTTGCTAAGAAAAGGTCACAGTGCCCTGAGTAGGCGATTTGTTTTGTCTTCTTGCACACACAGAGAGACGCATATACACCAATTTTATCTGTGCTTCGTAAGCCATCGGAATTCATTCTGGGTCATTGTGAGCTCTGCACTTACTCAAACGAGCAGACGCCTGATGGGAGCATTGCTGCTGGAAAATGAGTCACCGAACAGCCCAACTTTCACATCTCTGAACCCCAAGAATCACAGTAGCAAGCGAGTTGCCCCAATAACACTCTCTGCTTCAGACCCCCAGGTAAGCATCTGGAACCCCTGGAATCTTTCACTGCATGGAGATTGGGTGGGTATGTAACAATATTTTGGTGGTTTTTTGGGGGGGACGGTTCTTCCCCTTGCCTGTTTCTGTAGCCCGCTCTGCATATGCTATGAAGTTCCATATTAAGGACCAACTCCCCCAATCTGCATCACAATCAGATTCCTAGAAGCGCTGAATATGAAGGACTGTCTCCATTAAATCCTCATTACCACGTCACCCAAGAACAGGCAGGAGACAATAGCCAGTGCAATGCCATTCATGTTCCAATCTTTTAATTCTCCTCTCAGCAATTAGGGCGGCCCTATCTGCCAGAACCAAAAGCCTGAGTCACAGCTCATATTAATTTTAAATCCCCAGACTTAAAAAAAACAACAAAAAAACAGTGTGGGAAAACAGCGAAGTTTTGCTCATTCTGGAGGGGAGAAGGATTAAGTATTCTGCTGTGCAATGGCTGCTTTGATATTCCTTCGCTCCCTTCCCCTCCTACCCATTTTCCTCCCAAATTACTGATCGTTGTCTTACATAACAGTGTCATCCGCACTTATTGAATTAACAAGGCTGCGAAACACTTAATGAATCTAAACTCATCAAGTGCTTCCAAAGTTAATAACGGCATCGGGAGATCCTGGCTCCCTTAAGCCCCCAACCCACCTACCCCTTCCACCCCGCCCTACCTGCGAGAGAAATTTATACGCTTCCCGCACAGTCGCCAGAGTTCAGACAGCCCAAATCTCATGAAAGATTTATTGCTGGATGGCCTTGTGATTTATTTGCTGTTTGCCGGAGCAACACGTAGCTCGCATCTTCCGAGGGTTTATTTCATACTTGCAGGACTTGCGCGAGAGGAAGAATACGATCCGAGAGGGAGGGAGGCTCTCTCTTCCCAAGCCACAAATTCTAGGGAGAAAAAAGGCTGCAAATAACACAGAGAGCAGGGAAACAGAAACAAAGAGAACTTGCCTTTGTTCCTTTGGAAGTCCGACCAATGGCCATGGTCAAGGACTAACTGAACACTGGGGAGTGGTGGCTGGATACTGAGGAGCAGGCACTGGGAGAAGCAGGCTTGGAGACTGCCTTGCAAGAAGGGACCAGGGATTTGAAAGGGATTTGACACCGGTCTTGAAAGACCTACACTGACTCCCAGTATGTTTCCGAGCACAATTCAAAGTGTTGGTGCTGACCTTTAAAGCCCTAAACAGTCTCAATCCAGTATACCTGAAGGAGCGTCTCCACCCCCATCGTTCTGCCCGGACACTGAGGTCCAGCGCCGAGGGCCTTCTGGCGGTTCCCTCACTGTGAGAAGCCAAGTTACAGGGAACCAGGCAGAGGGCCTTCTCGGTTGTGGCGCCCGCTCTGTGGAACAGCCTCCCACCAGATGTCAAAGAGAAAAATAGCTACCAAACTTTTAGAAGACATCTTAAGGTAGCCCTGTTTAGGGAAGCTTTTAATGTTTAATAGGTTATTGTATTTCAGTGTTTTGTTGGGAGCCGCCCAGAGTGGCTAGGGAAGCCCAGCCAGATGGGCGGGGTATAAATAATAAATTATTATTATTATTATTATTATTATTAGGGGAGCCTGCAGCAGCCAGGAGACGAGAGGCGGGAGCAGCTGCAGGATTGGAGACACGAGGTCAGGTGCAGGAGAGAGAGATAGGTCAGGCTGGTGTATGGTCAAGAGCTTCCACATCTCCTCCTCCTGCCCACATCTCCTCCTCCACTGTCTCCCAGGACCAGAAGAGGACTGAAGCGGGAGGAGCAGAAGCAGGTTACATGCAGGCACAGTCTTTGCCTGCTTGCTTGCAGCTTGGATGGGGGAGATACATAAGCGAAGGTCAGGGGTGGGGCAATTGCCTCATCAGGTGCACACCTAGGAGTAGCTGAGAGACAAAGGACTGGTGGACCTGCCTGTCCTTAACTTGTATTTTTGACAACAATGCGTTAATTCCTCACTCTGGAAATCCCATTCCTGACAGCGCCATGACATCCATCTACCTCAATATTGTCCACACAGGCAGTTGCAGCTCTCCAGGATCTCAGACAGAGAGTCTCTCCCATCCCTACCTGATTGAATCCCTGAGAGATGGCCATCCTACCTCTCTTTAGAAACCTGCAATGAAGGAGAGCCACCATAGTCTTCTCATGGCATAGGGCAGCTTCCTGTTTCATGGTTAGGCTTCTGAGACTCCGAACTTTGACCCCTCCGGGGTCATGGAAACCTATACTGTTGCATGGGAACCCTACTGTGACATCACAACTGATGAGAGACATAACTCATCCCTGTTCCCACTGTGGGATGTGAAACACATAGCAGTCAAGTACAACATTCCTAGAATGGACATGCTAGGCTACGGGATGCTTTGTACCAGCCAGGAGAAAACTTCCTGTTTCCTCCTGAGCTGGGACAAACTTCCTCTGCATGTGACTAGATGTGAGTGTGGCTTAATCTGGGCAGGGGAGCACACATTCTTTTGGTCCTTCTTCTCCATTTTGGGACTAACTCCCTTATGAGATAGTTCCACATGTATATATACTTTTGTAACCTGAATCTGCCTTCAGGGATCCAACTGTGAACTGAATGAATGTGAGTAAATTACTTTTATATAAACTTTAATAAGACTGTCGTGTCTATTCTTTTTAAGAGGGACAAGAAGGCATCTTACCAGGAATCTTAAAGAAAGAGGCTCAGACGAGCCTGCAACAAGCAAACCACTGTGCTTTTAAAGGGGAATGTTTAAACTCTGCTAAGATATAGAACTTGCTAATGCAAGTTAGGAAGGATATCATTAAACAAAATATCCTCTCCTATCTCCCTGAACATTCCCACACCCACTAACATTCCTGCTTGCTTCATTCGTGATGAGTTCAGTGGTTGAGCAAACTCTTTGCTGTGCAACTTCAGCACAGAAAACTCAAAAAAAAAAAAAAAGGTGTGGTTGTGGCTTTGGGACAGCCACCATCTTTGAGCCTAACCCTGCCTCATAGAGTTGTTGTGAGGATGAAATGGGGAAGAGTAGAACCATGTATACTACCTTGAGCTTCTTGGAAAAGAAAGGCGGTATATGTCTAATAAAAGATATATATAAAAGAATAATACCAGACTGGAGCCTTAAGGGGTTAGAGAAAGCACTCTGTAAAAAACATGTGACGAGAGAGTTTATTTCTCATATTGGCAGAAGTGGCGAGCAGGAACCTTTTTTTACGCCAGTAAATACAGCACATTTATCAGTTCGCCTCGACAAGGCTTGTTCAGAACCAGGGTTATGTTGCCTGGATGTTAACAGGGCCAGGTGTTGCCATTGCCCTGATGGAGAACCATACTATAAAAGGCAAGATTTACAACATAGCCTTTTGTTCATATAAATCACACAACTCTGGCAAAAAGGACATTCCCTCCCTCCCTTCCTCCCTCTTCCACGCTTCTCTTCTTGCTGCAGGCCAGCTGTAGACCGTTGGATTTGTGATCATCCCTCCTGGCACCCCATCAATCTCAGGCTCCCCTTTTATAAATACAATAAGGAGGTATCCTCCGCCCCACCCTCCGCTCGCCGTGGCAGTGCTATAAAACACAAGCCCGTTCTGGAAGGGAGCTGAGCACATGTAACTACCAGGGACTCCAAATGATGAGAAATCAAGGATCAGGAGGGATGTGGAGAGCATAAAATACAAGCCAGCCTTACGGGTCCGGATGGTGAAGCCCAGCGGGCGCAGGAGGCAAAGGGAAGGTTCTCGCACGATTTATGGCCCAGCAGGCGAGGGCCAGGACTGGCCTTTCCGCTGAATTTTTACACTGATCCCCCCAAGATGCAGAGAGAGAGAGAGAGAGAGAGAGAGAGAGAGAGAGAGAGAGAGGACACAGACGGGTCTTCTCAGACCCCGGGGGCGATTATGGAGCAAAATGCAATTATATCCGGCTGCTGATCTCAGCCTCCTCCGCCCCGTCCTCTGGCCCAGCTGGGTTTGCGCTCCACTGGCGTGGAAGGCATGGGGGAGGGGGCGGCAAGGGGTGGACGGGATCAGCATTATCTTTGCACAGCTCCCCGCGTCTGAGCAAATACATAAATGACAATAACCTCCGATTAGGCAGAAGCCAGGCCCGTTGGCCCCCAAGGGGCAATCTGTGATTGACTGCCTCCGGTGGAACATTTGCCAGTCTGCAGCCTAATTTCACATTGCCTGGGCAGTGGGACTGTGGTCTCCGTCTGGCCACCTCCAGAAAGACAGGTCCTAAGAATGTAGGAATAGCTTGCTGTAGGCCAATGGCCCATCTAGTCCAGCATCCCATTCTCACTGTGGCGAACCAGAAGGCTGTGGGCAGCCAGTGAGCAGAACAAAACCACAAGAGTTTGGATCTGGATTTGATATCCCGCTTTATCACTGCCCTAAGGAGTCTCAAAGCGGCTCACAATCTCCTTTTCCCTTCCACCCCCACAACAAACACTCTGTGAGGTGAGTGAGGCTGAGATACTTCAAAGAAGTGTGACTGGCCCAAGGTCACCCAGCAGCTGCATGTGGAGGAGCGGGGAAGCGAACCCGGTTCACCAGATTACAAGTCCACTGCTCTTAACCACTACAGCACACTGGCAAGAGTCCTCTCCCTTCCTGTGGTTTCCAGCCACTGGTATTTGGGTTTCTTTGTAGTACTGAGTTTTCGGAAGATGATTTCCCTTCTCCGTGATTTGTTTGGGGCTCAGGAAGCAAGCACCGTGGAAGTCCAGAACATCGGGAAGGCAGCAGGTTGGCAAAGGGTGCTAGAAAGCATCACAAGGAAGGTCTCGCCAACTCAACTACAAGCCAGACCAAAAGATAACAGCAGCCCCCTTTGAGACTGCCATTCCTTAGTTCATAAGTCATCAACCTGAATTGACTGCATTTTCAATTACACCCCCCACCCCCACCCCTTTCCAGGTCACTGCTAACATGCAGCCTCCAATATGCAACACTAAGTATTTATCTGGCTTTAATTAGGGTAGGAAAGCAAGGAGAGTCAATAAACTAAATAATCCAGTGGGGTGATCAATATACTGCACGGCTAGGGCCTCCCCACTGCAGCGACAAGTCATGAATTAGACCTTGAAAGCCTTCAGAGTTAACCCCAGATAAGCTAACCCTCAGTGTGCTAGATGAAAAGGTGGCAAACCTCACACCAGCTCCTGACTCGAATACTCTGCATTTTGAAGCAAAAAGCCCAAGTACTGGGCTTAGCATAGCAGCTGCAAGCTGAGCAAGTTTGCCAAAGAAGTCAAAGCATAACGGCTACCGTTGATTGTCTGTTGATCAGCCAAGGGAGCATCGCCCACGCGATAAACTGGGCTCAATGAAGCCCTTTAAACTTTGCCATGTGATGGACTGCTGGAAAGCCATGCTGATGTCAAAGTATCAATTGGAAATGGAGCTGGAGGGTACACAAAGACGATCTAGCCCAGAGGTAGCCACTGTGATCCACGCGACGGTCACCTCCAGACTGGATTATTGTAACTCGCTCTACGTGGGGCTGCCCTTGAGACTGACCCAGAAACTCCAGCGGGTGCAGAATGCCGCGGCGAGACTCCTTATGGGGTCTTCGCTGCGAGATCACATTCATCCGGTACTATACCAGCTGCACTGGCTCCCGGTGGAGTACAGGATCAGGTTTAAGGTGCTGGTTTTAACCTTTAAAGCCCTATACAGCCTAGGACCCTCGTACCTACGGGACCGCCTCTCCTGGTATGCCCCACAGAGGAACCTACGGTCTGCAAATAAAAACATCCTGAAGGTCCCAGGCCTCAGAGAGGTTAGGCTGGCCTCAACTAGAGCCAGGGCTTTCTCGGCTGCGGCTCCAATCTGGTGGAACGCTCTGTCACAAGAGACTAGGGCCCTGCGGGACCTGACATCTTTCCGCAAGGCCTGCAAGACAGAGCTGTTCCACCAGGCCTTTGGTCAGGGCCCAGCCTGACTCCCTCCTCTGGCAACCTGCACAGAACTTTGCTTAACGGTTGCCATTAATTTGATTTTAATTAATTTTTATAATGAAATGTTTTAGAATGTTGGATTATTTGATTGTTTGATTATTTGTTTGTTGTTAGCCGCCCTGAGCCTGGCTTTGGCTGGGGAGGGCGGGATATAAATAAAATTTATTTATTATTATTATTATTATTATTATTATTATTATTATTATTATTATTATTATTATATTTCTCCCCCAGAGCTGCATGTGGCAGTGGGAGGAATGCATACTGGTGGCAGGCAGGGTCAGTAATGGCAGTGGGTCTGTCTGTCTGTCTCTCTCTCTCTCTCTCTCTCTCTCTCTCTCTCACACACACACACACACACACATACAGAAACACACACGAGTTTCCCTCTCCTACTTAAGTTTCTCTCACTCTCTTGCACACACACCTTTCATGTCCATCCTCATTGCACAGGTATAGGGCAGGCTTAAACCTTCACACCTGGTGTGAATTAATGGACCAGGCAGAATTGGACAAAATGACAGGAAGGATTTGAAACCTGCGGGACCAGAGATTTACAGAAGATTGGAAGAAGTATATGAATTATTTGAAGAGCAACTGTAATCAACAAATTACGCTAGTTACAAGAAGTTTTGTAAGGAGAAATATACGAAGTGTTACAAAGTAGAAAAAGATAGAGATATTGGTTATGAGTTTGAAATGTAATAGGGAAGATAAGAAATGCATACTAAGAGATTAGATTGGAAAATTTTCAGATAGGATTGATGGAAGTAAAAAAAAATTGAATAAGATGTAAAAGTATGTTTAATTACTGTTGAAAATGATATGTTAAAAAACTAATAAAAAAATTTATATACAAAAAAAACCACCTTCACACCTGGTGCAATGAGATCCAATTGCACTTCCCTTCTCCTCTGCTGCTCAGCAAACTGGGACTGAAAAGCATCCCAATTAGCAGGCTCCTCACCTGTTTCCAGTGCCAGTCAGCTGGGAAGTGGAGGGAGGCACACAATGGGATCTCTGTGGCCTCACTGCACACCAAATCCCCAGCTGCTTGGTTCTGGAAGCAGCTTGGAAGCATACCGACTGGTGTGCTCCTCAGTGCCAATCTGTTGTGCACCAGGGAGGGGAGTCCATGGGTAAGCAGGGAGAAACCTGCATGGAAGTTACCCAAAAGCGTCCGGTTGGCCACATGTGCTGCAAGCCCAACTACCTGCCCAAAGACTGAAGCACCCATTCCTTCAAACTCCCCCAAAGATCACCCTACACAATTCAAGGAATGAGTGTACAGTGGTACCTCGGGTTAAGTACTTAATTCGTTCCAGAGGTCCGTTCTTAACCTGAAACTGTTCTTAACCTGAAGCACCACTTTAGCTAATGGGGCCTCCCGCTGCTGCTGTGCTGCCAGAGCACGATTTCTGTTCTCACCCTGAAGCAAAGTTCTTAACCCGGGGTACTATTTCTGGGTTAGCAGAGCAGAAGCATATGTAACCTGAAGCGTATGTAACCCGAGGTACCACTGTACTGAAGAACTGCATTTGGACTGCAATACTTCAAGAACTGTACCAGGACTACAGTGCCTCAAGACCTGCCTCTCCCCATATGAACCCACCCTGCAATCATCATCTGAGGCCCTACTTCATGTGCCTCCTCCACGAGAGGTCCAGAGGGCAGCAACATGAGAACGGGCCTTTTCTGTGGTGGCTCCCCATTTGTGGAATGCTCTCCCCAGGGAAGCTCGCCTGGTGCCTTCATTACATATCTTTTAGGCATCAGGCAAAGAGATCTCTTCTCCCAGGTGTTTGGCAGATAGGACAACTTATGGCCTTTTAAACTGGGGGCAGGGGTATTGTTTTGTTTGTTATTCTGTTACATCTTCTTGTGTTTTTAGTCCATAAACCACCCTGTGACCATCAGAGGAAGGGTGGTATATAAATGTAATAAAATAAAATAAATTTAATCAGTGACTAAAATAAATTTGCTGCTGTCAGAGCTTGTGGTTTGATGCATGGAGGTATCAAAAAGTGAGCAAGAGGTGACATGGCAGAAGCTTATAGAATTACAGTGGTACCTCAGGTTACAAACGCTTCAGGTTACATACACTTCAGGTTACAGACTCGGCTAACCAAGAAATAATACCTCGGGTTAAGAACTTTGCTCCAGGATGAGAACAGAAATCGTGCTCCAGCGGCGCAGCGGCAGCAGGAGGCCCCATTAGCTAAAGTGGTGCTTCAGGTTAAGAACATATTCAGGTTAAAAACGGACCTCTGGAATGAATTAAGTACTTAACCCGAGGTACCACTGTACGTGTTCAGAGAGTTCCACTGGTTAACATTCAGTTTGACTGGATGGCCTTGAGAGAAGGAGAAAAACTTTTGTGTATCCACCCTCTCCATGCCATTCATACTTTCGCAAACTTTTATCATGCCGTCTCTTTCACTCAAAGTCCCAAAGGCACCTCTTTGAAATGTTCTTTGACTCAGTTCCATGGGCCACTTGCTGTGTGGGCAGCTGTCTTTGGCAAAGTCTTGGGGGCTACAAAAGCTATAGCCACCAAGGAGAGAGCTGCTGCTATCTCTCCCTCCTGAGGAACTAAATCACCACCTCTGAAACTCTTAAAGGCATCCGTTACATTTACGTTTATGGTGCCCCCAGGACACCCCCACGATAGCTCGCCATTACATGGCCAGCTGTTTGGCTCAATCCCGCAAACATTTAACAGTCTGGCAGGGGAGGGGGGAATGAAAGGGGCTGATTGCAATTAGAACAGCACACGCTCTAGGCGAGATTGCCACCTGGGAAATGCAAGGAAATGTCGTGTTATCTATAACACGAGAGTTGTGCATGTTTACATGAACTTCTGAATGGTAGAATCAAGGGCCAGAGGGAGGGGAGGAAATGAAGTAGGGTGCCCCCACTCTTGTAGAGATCTTTAAGTGGTCCCCAAAACTTACCATAGTCTTGGGAAATGTGGTCAACCCAGTATTCCCCATGAGGGTTTAAAATGGATCCGGATTCTCATCATGCCCTTCCCACCCAGAGCCTCAATGAAACACACACATAAAACAGCCTTTGCCCCAAATTATGGGTTGGTACATGAAAGTCTGGGAAATGAAAGGCAGTCAGAGAATACCGACAAAAACAGAGTGGCTCTGTTTTTGGAGTATTACAATATATCCAAAACAATGGGAGAAATTGGAAGGATCTCAAAAGAGAAGATAAGACAAGGACTGGAAGGTGTTTAAAGGATATTTGCAAAATCATATTGAAAAGTCAGAACTCCCATTAGAATAAATAAGTTCCCTTATAATTAGTGAAATACTAAATAAGATGGATAACAATGTGTAACAGAAAAAGAAGCAGAAAGCTGGTTTAAAAGTGTGTGAAAGAAAGTAATAGAAGTGGAAAGAAATTGCAATTGAGTCTAACACAAAGTTGAGGTGAGGGATGGTGGTGGGAAAAGGAAGTATGTGTGGGATTGAGTGGGGGTATGTATGAATATTTTCAAGGACTGTATGAAATGTATGTTTGTTTGTATATTCATAATATGAATGTATTAATGTTGAATTATTTTAATAAAATATTTTTTTAAAAAAGAAAGGCAGTCAGAGAGGTCCTGGAGGACCATGAGACACAAATTATTTCTGAAGTTTCTCTTAAGGCGTCGGAGATGGAAAAAGGCAGAGACCACAAAATTCCCTTAACAGCAAAGCCTGTTGGAGATGCAAGCCTTGGCCTCCATGACTGTCAGAGATATCTCTAGCAGAGAGGAGTATGCAGAGGGGATGGAAGAGGCAGAGGAAAACAGGAACTTGATTCTTTCACACAACGAAAGTGAGAGAAGCCCTTCTCGCTCTGGAACGCTGCCTGTAAGTTTTCGCAGCAGCACAGAGATGCAGGAGCAGGAGGAAGGTGGTAGGAATCTGGAGGATTCAGCTCCAGAGGAGGAGGAATTGGTTGCACCTGAGTCTCCAAGAAGTAGGAGGCAGAGCAAGTATTAGAACAAAGGAAGACCAGCAGGAGGTGAGGAAGGACTTGGCGTATATCTGGCCTTGGAGGGGGCCAGAAGCCAGTCGAGTCAACTGACTCTGACAGTGAGGAATGAGTTGTGGAAGCTTGGACCTCTGAAAGCCTGTTATTGCTAAATAAACCTCAACTAGTAAAACTGCCAGGGACGTGGGTGGCGCTGTGGGTAAAACCTCAGTGCCTAAGACTTGCTGATCGCATGGTCGGCGGTTTGAATCCCCGTGGCGGGGTGAGCTCCCGTCATTCGGTCCCAGCTCCTGCCCACCTAGCAGTTCGAAAGCACCCTTAAGTGCAAGTAGATAAATAGGTACCGCTTTATAGCGGGAAGGTAAACGGCGTTTCCGTGTGCTGCGCTGGTGCTGGCCCACCAGCTGCAGCTTTGTCACACTGGCCACATGACCCAGAAGTGTCTTCGGACGGCACCGGCTCACGGCCTCTTGAACGAGATGAGCATGCAACCTTAGAGTCGGACACGACTCGCCCGTACGGGCAGGGGTACCTTTACCTAGTAAAACTGCCGGGACACAGGTGGCATTGTGGGTTAAACCACAGAGCCTAGGGCTTGCCGATCAAAAGGTTTGGGGTTCGAATCTCTGCGGCGGGGTGAGCTCCCGTTGCTCAGTCCCTGCTCCTGCCAACCTAGCAGTTCAAAAACACACAGTGCAAGTAGATAAATAGGTACCGCTCTGGCGGGAAGGTAAACGGCATTTCCGTGCACTGCTCTGGTTTGCCAGAAGCGGCTTAGTCATGCTGGCCACATGACTCAGAAGCTGTACGCTGGCTCCCTTGGCCAGTAAAGCAAGATGAGCACCACAACCCGAGAGTCGTCCATGACTGGACCTAATGGTCAGAGGTCCCTTTACCTTTACCTTTAGTAAAACTGCCAGCGTTCCATGTCCTGTGTGAGAGAAGTGCTAAACCTGACAATGACACTGGCTAGGGTAGTCCACAGCAAACAGAAAATGCACAAAGCCCACTGAGATCCTTAGCAGCTCTTTAAAAAAATAATCCCTAGCAGGACTCCTAGCTCCTGCCTCAACTTTCATTTTACATGGTTCCTTGGCAACTCTATAAATTCCAGGTGTCCCAAGCATTTGATACACACACAACCCCCAGAGCTTTAAGAATCCTTATAAAAGCCTTGAGAGATCACCTGTGGTTATTATACCCATGCTCCAGATGGGGACTAGAGAAAGATTGAGGCTGAGCGAATCATAGCTTGCCAAAGCCCACCTAATGAGTCGGCACCTGAGAGGAGACCAGAACGGGATGCTCTTGCCCTGATCAACCCCTGTGCTTCCAACCAAATATAACTCCCCTTTAGTTCATTATCTCCTCTTTTCTTTGAGTATTGCCTTGATCTTGATTACCGCCTTTGGCTGCCACCGGCATCCAATTCCAAGGAGCCGAGAAGCACCGCCATCGCGCTTTGCTAATTCGATCGGGCTGTGGGAGAAGCAGGGCTGAGGTAATAGGCAGTGCGGCAGAGGTCAGGAGAAGCAGCCGAGCAACATTAAAAGGAAATCTCAAGCGCGGCTCCCTTCGAAGGAGAAATTTGCTCCAAACGTGCCAGAGCAACTGGCAAAACTAATAAAGAGGAGCAGCACTTTTGCTCCTTGGGTTTTGTTTTTCTCCCAACAGTGCTGTTTGTTTTCGATCGAGAGACCAATCTGGGCTGGTGCTTTTCCTCACACGCTCTGCACTGCAGTACAGTAAATACTGTACTCCCACAGGCCTGTTGATCCAGCGCCAACCCATCTCCCAGCATCCAAAGCCAGCGTGACCAGGAAGGGGGAAAAGAGACAGCATTAAGCAACAGGTCTCCAGTAAACAGAAATGTGTCTCTCTCAGATCACACCTGGACACTACACTTCAGTTAATGTAGGCCAGCTATTTGGAGCTGGAGGGGACTCTTGAGAGTCCCATGGACTGCAAGAAGATCAAACCTCTCCATTCTGAAGGAAATCAGCCCTGAGTGCTCACTGGAAGGACAGATCCTGAAGCTGAGGCTCCAAGACTTTGGCCACCTCATGAGAAAAGAAGACTCCCTGGAAAAGACCCTGATGTTGGGAAAGATAGAGGGCACAAGGAGAAGGGGACGACAGAGGACGAGATGGTTGGACAGTGTTCTCGAAGCTAAGAACATGAGTTTGACCAAACTGCTGGAGGCAGTGGAAGACAGGAGGGCCTGGCGTGCTCTGGTCCATGGGGTCACGGAGAGTCGGACATGACTAAACAACAACAACAGCTATTTATGCACCTTTGTTGTTTATTGCTTTTATAGGCCGTGTCCAGTTCTGGGCACCACAGTTTTAAGAAGAACATTGACAAGCTGGAATGTGTGCAAAGGAGGGCATCCTGGATGATAAAGGGTCTGGAAACCAAGCCTTATGAGGAATGGTTGAGGGAGTTTGGTATATTTAGCATGGAGAAAAGAAGACTGGGGGAGTTGGATATGTTTAGCCTGGGAAAGAGAAGTCTGAGAGGAGATGAAACATGAAATTTATTATGGTCAGAGACCAGCTTAAAGGGAGGAGATGAGATAGCCCATCTTCAGATATCTAAAGGGTTCACATGGAAGGTGGAACAAGATTGTTTTCTCCTGCTCCAGAGGGTAGGACCCAAACCAGTGGATTCAAATTACAAGAAAGGAGATTCCTACTAAATATTAGGAAGAACTTATTGACGTGAAGAGCTGTTCAGTAGTTGAATGGGTAACCTTGGAAGGTGGTAGACTCTCCTTCATTGCAGGTTTCTAGAGAGAGAGTTTGGGTGGCCATCTGTCAGGGATTCCTGCATTGCAGGGGGTTGGACTAGATGAATCTTGGGATCCCTTCCAACTCTACTATTCTATGGTTCTATATATTCCATTGATGTTGCGCTAGCAAGACCCCATGGCCTTCAAAGCTCTTGAATCAGGGTTTGGGGAGTTTCCAACCTGGTGCTATTCCCTGGAAACACACCAGGCGCCCCTTCTTGGTGGACTAGCCCTCTTCTCACTATGTCAAGCTTGCTTCAGACAAGTCCTTCTGAGCCTGGGGCCTGGCTACATGCCCCCAAAGCAAGAGAGTAATTTAAAAAAAAACACACACACACAGTTGCTTGGTTCAATATCTTATCTGTGCAGATATCATTCCTTCAGGGATGTGGTTCCTAGGCCTTGAGAAAGGCAGCAAGGAGACTCACAGGTCCTGCTTTTTCACTTGCTCTTCCAGCTGTCAGAGCAGCCCACCTCAGCACCCTTCGTCCTGCCTCCCCCCTCTTCCAGCTTATTTTCTTCCTCCCCTCCCCCCCCGGAAATCAGAAGCATGCATCAGGGGCACCATGCAGTGATGCCTGCACTGCTGCAATTCTTCTGACTCTGCCAGGAAAGGGCATGGCTAGACGCCCTCCCACTGTAGAACCTGACAGCATGCTTCATGTGCAAAATAGTATACAATTGTTTAACAACATATCTGTATCTCTGCATCAAGACTGCTTCTATTCCTCCTCCCCCCTCCCCCCATCCTAATATGTGTCATAATTTGATGGTGAGGGGAGAAATTTGGATTCAGCGTTCTTGCAAGGACAGAGATTTGTACCAAACGCTCACTATAATCAAAACATGATAGCAGGGCTGTGTTACGCATTTGCAGAGAAGTTATCCAGAAAAGGTTGCTATCTAAACTAGAACACATTCAGTAAGGAGCTGTCCAGAGTGCCGGGTGCTGAAAGTAATGGCCAGCAAAATTGCTCTCCTCTTAAGCTACTGGCAATGGGAAAGCACAATGCAACTGCAATCCAACACTGTGGTGTGTGTGCTCTTGGAATTCCTCCCCCATCTCTAGCAAGCCTGAAGGGGGGGGGGAAGGCAACAGCGAAATAAAATCCATATACGTTCCAATATACTAGTTGGTTCCACATGCAATAAGAAAGCGTGTATACAGGAGGCGAAAGCTGTGATTTCATTTTTACATAGCAGGCGCAACATTTATTCTCACCACCCGCAATGTGATAAGTGCCATATATTTATATATATAGGAAATCATCCCTGCAGAAATCTGGCGTCTTCACACTTGTGCTTAAAAGGACAGATTTATGGTTTGCGTTTGCAAAGCTGTGGGTGGGTATCGACGTCGGAGTGAGCGAGGAGACGATGGGACTCTGACAGGAACCAAACACGCCAAATGAGGATGTCGTTCAAGGCCTCCCACATATAATCTGCCAGTGCTTCTTGTGTGTTCCCCGGGCTACTGCCAACTGAACTGTGCCTGTTTTGGAAAACTGTGGCGAACGTGTTTTAGCTGTACAGCAAATAGTATGAATACAAAATGGGAGGCAATCGGCTGCCACTACTAATAAGGTATATACTATGCAGAGCTAGGACGCGAGTGGCGCTGTGGGTTAAACCACAGAGCCTAGGACTTGCCGATCAGAAGGTCGGCGGTTCGAATCCCCACAACAGGGTGAGCTCCCATTGCTCGATTGCTGCTCCTGCCAACCTAGCAGTCTGAAAGCACGTCAAAGTGCAAGTAGATAAATAGGTACCGCTCTGGTGGGAAGGTAAACGGTGTTTCCGTGCGCTGCTCTGGTTCGCCAGAAGCGGCTTAGTCATGCTGACCACATGATCCGGAAGCTGTACGCCGGCTTCCTCAGCCAATAAAGCGAGATGAAAAACCCCAGAGTCGGCCACGACTGGATCTAATGCTCAGGGGTCCCTTAACTTTTACCTATGCAGAGCTAGAGAGACTGAGGCTTTGACCAGGGAAATCTCTGACTCAGATCCCTATGCAGCTGATAAGGACTGTTCCATGTGTTCTACAGCAACGCATTCAGGTTGGCCAGCCAATATATACCCAAGCAGTGGGATAGAGACAGTTCCAGCTCTCTCCTTGTCTTTTATAATATTTGTGCCGTTCTAGCTCTTAGTCAACAAGTAGTAAGTTGGTCGGTCTGGTTGTGGAACTCTGTAGCATGAGAGGAGCAAGATACACCGGCCTGAGCTTGGAGAAAGGGTAGGATAATGACACAAATATTATAAAAGACAAGGAGGAGAAGGCATAATAAGTGATATGTAGCACAAATGATGGAGCAAACGCATTTTCCATTACTCCAGAGGGTAGGACCTGATCCAATTGATTCAAATTAAAAGAAAATTGATTCAAACTAAGCAGTAGGAAGAACTCTCTGATGGTATGAGCTGACGTTTTTCAGCAAAGGCTGAGCAGTCACTTAAAAGGGATGCTCTAGTAATGGACTTGCTGTCTAAATGAGCATCGAAGCCCCTTCTAGCTCTGTTTCATTACTCTATGCAATGCTGAACCGAATAAAAATCCTTGACAAAACTAACAACAAAAAATGGGTTGGGAGGATAATGTCTCCATACATTGGTACCATTTCTCCTTTGCTTACCCCTCGCTAACATTTGATCTGGCCCCAATATGCTTACTGTAGATTGTGTATCAGAAGATCTGCATAAAATGCCTCTGTTCAGGCCGACCCCAAGGGAGCCCCCCTCCTCCCCCCTGAGCTATTTCTGTGCGCTACCCATGGCTCGTGACCGCAAGGCCATGGCATGCTGTTGCGCTCCCATGTCATTGATAAAAATACTCCCCTTCATGGTGCTAAAGTGTTTGAGAGATGCCCTCAGCACAAGTATGGCTCTGCCTCAGTAGTTTTATAGTTATTGGCTATTGTTCCAGCTTCCTCAATGAAATCCAACATTAAAATGGCTTTCTATATTCCTTGAGTGCATTCATTCCATCACCTCCTGGCAGCAAAATTGGCCTTTCAGCTGTATATACTGCCTCGTGAAAGGCACTTCATAGACTCATATTTGGAGGGGGGGGGAGGAAATCCCTCCTGAAAACACACCTTTCCCATGGAATCCTTGCCACTATTCCCTCTTGTACTTTGCTAATGTGGTGTATTGGTGCAGGGGTCAGCAAACTTTTTCAGCAAGGGGCCAGTCCACTGTCCCTCAGACCTTGGGGGGGGGGGCTGGACTAGGGGTTTTTTGGGGGGGACAAATTCCTATGCCCCACAAATAACTCAGAGATGCATTTTAAATAAAAGCACACATTCTACTCATGTAAAAACACACTGACTCCCGGACTGTCCGCGGGCCAGATTTAGAAGGCGATTGGGCCAGATCTGGCTGCCAGGCCTTAGTTTGCCTACCCATAGTTTAGAGCGTTGCTGTATGACCCAGGAGACCAGGGTTCAAATCCACACTCAGACTTGAAGCTCACTAGGTGACCTTGGGCCAAGTCAACATCTCTCAGCCTAGCCCACCTCACATGGTTGTTGTGAAGAAAAACCACATACATTTCCTTGGAGGAAAATACAGTATACAGTGGTACCTCGGGTTACAGACACTTCAGGTTACAGACGCTTCAGGTTACAGACTCCGCTAACCCAGAAATAGTACCTCGGGTTAAGAACTTTGCTTCAGGATGAGAACAGAAATCGTGCTCCGGCAGCGCGGCAGCAGCGGGGGGGGGGCCCCATTAGCTAAAGTGGTGCTTCAGGTTAAGAACAGTTTCAGGTTAAGAACGGACCTCTGGAACGAATTAAGTACTTAACCTGAGGTACCACTGTACAGATGTAACAAACAAAATAATAACTAAATAAATGTGTAATCAGAGAGATAGCAGTAATGGTAGCAGCGTGTGTTTTTTCTGGCCCAGTTATTGCAATTCTTCTGGTGCAGACATTTCTCCCACTGTTTTTCTTACCATTGGAGTTACTATGCATTTTGGGGGGTGGGGGTGGATATTTGCAGCTGCGTACACAAGTTCATCCAGAAAGAGGCTGTAGGAGAGAGAGAAGTGCCTAGATTTAGAAACTCCTGTGCAGGTCGGGAGTTTAGGATCCTTTAACAAATGTGCATTCGGATGCACATCCAAATATGAGCTCACTGAAAACAATGGCGACGATGCCTACATTTAGATAAGTATTCCTTATATAATAATATTGAACTATTGCATTTATATCCCAGCTTTTTCTCTAAAGAGTTCAAGGTGGCCATACATGATTCTCCATCTCCTCATTTAATCTTCACAACAACCCTGTGAGGTAGGCCGGGCTGAGAGGAAGTGACCATCACCCAAAGCCACTCAGTGAGCTCCATGTGATCACGCTGACCACTCCAGCTCCTTCCATTTTAACCATGATTCCTAAAAAAAAAACCAAGGGAATCCTAGGCATTCTGTAGAAATGCCACAGACAGCCAAGAGCATAGTGGCGGGGAGAAAACAGTGGCAAAAAAGCGATTAAGTTTCATGCATTCCTAACGCGACTTATTGTTGCAAAGGTTTCCAAAACGCTGCAGATGAAGGGCTTTGACAAATCAAGCAAGAAGGTAAGCACACTTTCATTTCTCTATTTTTAATAAATTACAACGTCACCAAACTGCTTCCTTCCCTTGCTTGTAAGTTAATGGAAATCTACACAGAGTGGAGAAACATCCCCTTCTGAGCTATGGATCACAAGGGCAGGATGATGGTAGCCTGATCTCATTAATGTATATTTAGAGGCACCAAAGTGCTCTCAGATGCACACAATTAGCTTCGCCCACTAATTAGATGAAGAGGGGAGCTCTGTCTGAGGGTAGATGGTGATGTGTATTGACTGGAAAACGGGGTCTCTCTTTACAGGCAAGGAAGCCGGGATACGATGTAAGGTTAAACAATTTGTAATTGACGGGAAGCTATTATTTCTATTGTTCTTGTTCTTAAAATTATTTCTGGTATTCGTGACAAGGGTAGCCAGTGACTTCCATGGGAAATGAGGAGTGGGGGGCGGCTTTTACCCGAGCACGTAAGCAGAAGGGCATTACCTCCTCCCCCTTGGCTGGTGAATGAGAAATCAGCTGTTCTGGGACTCCTGATGGTTGTGTTAAAGCCATGCCAACATATCCATTAGAGCAAGGGAAGTCAATGCAGGTCCCAAAGCCTTACTGAGCTATGGCTCCCTCCCTCTTAATCCTACATTTATGGGATGCAAAGCCAGACAGGCCTCTTGGGTGCCTCGTCTGCTGACAGAAAAGTTAAGAGCCATGGCTTTGCTTGGGCTCTGCTCTGCTCTGTATTGGTAGTAACCCCATGCCTTGTCCTCGCCTTGTGTAGACCCAGTGACAGGGACAACAGGACTTTATCCCTTTCGTCACACGAAAACACCTTTGCAAATGCAACCAGGAAGTTCTGACAGCCAGCTGCCAGCACCCAAAACTTGTCTCAGCTTATGCAGGAGAAAGAAGCTGAAGGTCTACCAATGTTTCTCAAACTTGGGTCCCCAGCTGTTGTTGGACTGCAACTCCCATCGTAGAATCATTGAATTTTAGAGTTGGAAGGAACCCCTTTTTAAGCTTTTTTGCTAGGCTTGATGGGAGAGGAAATAGAAAAAGCAGATCAAAGGTTATTTATGTATGCTACGACTGCTGCCAGAACTTTGTTAGCCCAAAAATGGAAAGTACCAGATTTACCAACAGTAGAGGAGTGGCAGACGAAGATGGTAGATTATGCAGAACTAGCAAAACTGACCTTCAGGATTCGAAACTGGAGGAAACAAAATCCCAAAGAGATTGGAGTAAATTTATGGATTATAAAATAATAACTGTAGAAATTTGCAGACTCTGGCAGGACTGAAATGAATCTTAAGACGTAGACTGGACTGGATATAATAAGAAACTGTGGAAAGGTGACTGAAGCCAGAAAACCTGTTGAAGGAAGGGAGGGAAGTCAATGCTCAGCAGAGTGTTGGGAAAGAATGTGGGTAAATGACTGTTGAATATTATTGTACTTTGTTTGTTTGTATTAAATGAAAAATCAATAAAAAGCATTAAAAAAAAAGAGTTGGAAGGAACCAAGAGGGTCATCTACTCCAACCCCCTGAAATGCAGGAATCTCAGCTAAAGCATCCGTGACAGGTGGCCATCCAACCTCTGCTTAAAAACCTTCTAGGAAGAGGAGTCCACAACCTCCCAAGAGAGACTATTCCACTGTCAAATAACTCTTACTGTCAGAAAGTTTTTCCATATGTTTAGTCAGAATCTCTTTTAACTTGTATCCATTGGTTCAAGTCCTAACCTCCAGAGCAGGAGGAAGCAAGCTTGTTCCCTCTTCCATGTGACAGCCCTTGAGATATTTGAAGATGGCTATCATATCTCTTCTCAGTCTCCTCTTTTCCAGGCTAAACGTACCCAGCTCCTTCAACCACTCCTCATATGGCTTAGTTTCCAGTGTTTGAAAGTCTTGTAGCTTCAGATTCTGAACTTTTGCACATTAAGCATCATGGATTTCAGAAAATAAATGGTTTTCATGAACTAAAAGAAGTTTCTCAACTCTTTGGTGTTACCTTCTTCCTTGCTTTTATGTGTGTATTTCAAACACCTTACCAGTTGATTCAATATGATGCAGGAGATGGAGGAATCCAAGTCAAGGAATAACCAAGAAAAGTCAGAGGCTATGTTGTGCAAAGGCCTTACCAGGACATTGCAGGAAGAATAAACTTACCAAGCTGCTTGCTGAGACCAAGCACAAAAGACCTTTTGCAAGTACTTTCTGGGCATGTGGTCCAGAGAGCACTGCTTTGTTAAGGAATCCAGGCAAACACAATCACAGTGCTGCAACCAACAATTTGAGTACTGAATCTAGGCAATTTGAAAGGGTACCATCCCAGTCACTGGCACCACCTATTCAAGACACTTCTCTGCAAAAGCTGAGCTAGTTTTGCAATGCAGATCTCCAAATCCTTGTTTCACATCACAGGTATTTTACCTGTAAATGACATCTGGTTGGCCACTAGGAGAACAGGATACCAGACTAGATGGGCCACTAGTCTGATCCAGAACACACTTATTCTGTGTAATTCCACTCCAGCTTTCGCATCCAGTAGCCGTCCCCCCTACCCCCGATCTCATGATAAAATCCTCCAATCTGTCACCTATTTGGGATGTTTATCCCCAACAGCCAATAATCAGTTTTTGCATTTGAAGTGGAAAACCACATAAACTTGTCCCACCCACTATTCAGTTTGTATAGGACCAGCTTGGAGGCTTACCAGCACAACACATTTACCTATCTCAAACAAGTATAGTGCAGAATTTGCAAACACACACACACACAAATCCAGATTTCAGAACTGGATTAACATCTCAGGAACTACACTGCAGCTTGAGGTCTCAGTAGCTATGCAGCAATTAATCAGAGATCCAATCTTTGGTTTGTGTGTTCCAGTGGAGCAAACAGGGAAACAGTTTTGGCCTGAAAACCTCCCATAACTTTAAGCCTTCATCAATTACCCACACAAGGGAAATGCTTCCTTTTGAACTTCTTTGATTTCCATTCCGTTTTGTGGATTTTGGTTTTCTAAAAGGCAGCAGATATTCACTTTGGAGGGCAGGAGAAGAAGCTACTTTATCTGCTCAGACGTCAGGCACATATCGACATCTTCTACAAAGGGCTTGCTCAGATGCCCAGAAGAGTCAATATTTGGTAGAGAGCAAGCATTAAATTTTCAAGCATCCTCTGAGTCAAGGTGACTTTCACTGTTTTCTTCTGAACACCCCCTCCTAACTCCTCTTGCCACACACAACCCCTCCCTGTCAACTGGATTGACAGCAGAAAGCTGTGCTCCACCACTTTGTAATGCCATCAAAGGTCTGGGAGATACCAGAAGCCATGCTATGCAGCAGCCTTCTCACCAAGAGGAAGTGACAGTCTTTGAGCCCAAACCAACACCCCAGGAGAACATAAATTCAACAGGGTGCAATATGCATCATGCCATGGTACAGTCTCAAGACTGGAAATATGTATCCAGGAAAAGGAAACATAGCTCTGAAGGGCAAAAGTAAGAGGAGCAAGCCTTGTGGCAGCAGGTAAAGCATGAAATGCGGTGGCTACCAGAGGGTTCTTCTTAGGCAAGACACACAAGGCATATAAAGGGAAGTATAAACCTTTATCGAAGAGCTAATATTGATTACAGTGGATGCTCGGGTTGCAAATGTGATCCGTGCAGGATGCATGTTCGCAACCTGCAGCGTCTGCAACCCGCAGCGGCACATCTGCGCATGCGCGGGTTGCGATTCGGCGCTTCTGCGCATGCACAAAGCGCAATTTAGCGCTTCTGCACATGCGCAACTGCCGGAACCCGGAAGTAACCTGTTCTGGTACTTCCAGGTTTCGGCGGTCCGCAACCCAAAAAACGCAACCTGAAGCATCTGTAACCCAAGGTATGACTATACTGGTTTTCAGCAAAATCAGAATGGAGGTGCTTTTTGTGCTATAAACATCATGAGTTCTTCATATAATTGGAAGCTGAAAAAGCCTAATGAAAAAGGGTGCAAGCACTTCTCGTATGTAACATTGGCTGAACTCAGGTATTCCAAAGAGAATTTGGAGTAGCTGTGCATTTTGCAAGTGGAAAGAGCAAAGGTTCTAAGTAGTGTTCTCGTCTCATTCCCCCAAGAACCTGTGGGACCAGCCTGAAAGGTCTATCTAATACGGCACCAAGCTCCACACCACATGCACCCCAAGCCAACAAGAAGGACTTGAAGACATGAGTCCACCCTGTTTCTCCATCAACTGGCATTCATTGGCACAAACAATATGATCCCAGAGATTGCATTGGCACATGGGGCCGGTACTAAACAGCTCGCCACCACTAGCTTAGAAGAGTTAAGGTGGACACTTTTATGAAGAACAATTGTGTTTATTAAACCATATCAACTAGGTATTGTGGAAAAATACAGGCCTGAAACACCCGCTCTGGTGAGCTCTCCCAGGATTGGGTTGTGAGCTATTTCACCCAAAGCTGGAAAACAACTTATTTCTCAACCCAGCTTTGAAAACCAGTTCTTCCTTGCAATCCCCTATGATCTCATGAACATTGGGAAGAGTTCTGCTGGATCGAGACAAAGGTCTTTCTAGTCCAGCATCCCGTTCTCATAGGCCAGTCAGATGCCTATGGAAAAACTCACAAACTGGATTTGAGTGCAACAGTGCTCTCCCCACTTGTGATGCTCAGAAACTGTTACTCAGAGGCTTGCTGCCTTTGATAAGGGACAACATAGTCATTATGACTTATTTCCCTTGATAGATTCTTCCTCAATAAATCTGTTTAGATTTTGGAGTTCTGAAGTACCCAGCCTTGTTTCTGCAGGAGAACTAAAGTACTAGGCATTCTTCGCTGCCCTGGTTTCATTTTTGGATCTTGGGCAGAGCACAGCGCACCTGTCGTTCACCTGTGTCTCTCCCCATCACCACTTCATTGATGGTAAAACTTTGCACTTGCTCACTTCAGAATTGACTCTCTTGCAGTGCTGTCATATCAGAAATAACTCTCAAGCCTAATGAGGCTTATCCCTAAATAGAGGACTAGAGAGGCGCAACATTGCCTTGGCAACCCGCGTCCTAGTCACATCCAGACTTGACTTCTGCAATGTAATTTATGTGGGGCTGTCTCTCCAGCCTGCTTCCAGATCAGCTCTCACACACTACTCCAGCAGCTGGGGGGGGGGGGGCTCTTAGTTGTGGCTTTTGAAACCTGGCTCATTCTTTTGGGATGTTGAAGAGGACACTTAAGCAGCCGGCTAAGGCCATTGCCTTGCAAAGAAAGCTGGCTGGCTGGTTCAGAAAACTCCTCTTGTCGGATTCTAATCCTCACTGGATACAGGCCCATAAGAAGTGGAAGGGACTAAGGTCATCAGCCAAATATACAAGAGTATATTCCTGTGGCCAGATATAGGAATCTCAGTGGCATCACTTGCCCACTCTCCTGTATTTGAGCATGGTCATAAACAAGTAATGAGTGAGCTTCCCGTTTCCCAACCTGTCCATGTGTGGGATCACACAGCAATTATGGCACTCCCTCACTGCTCTGCTTCAGTGACCTGCCTTGACCTGTGCGGATGTGGGGAAATAAGCCATCAAGAGAAGCCCCGGAATGACGGGACATGACATCTCCCATCCACCCTCCAAATACAATTCTAATTCTATTATCTCAATCACTCCATTATCCAAATAGCACCTCGTCAGTTTCCAGGCCCATTTTCGGACACATTAGGGTAATGGAAATGTGTGCGGTTGAACAGCAGCTGAGGCTGCCGCCGAACATCCAGACAGCCCCTTGTCCCCCTGGACACTCGGCTGGGTGGACTGAAGGATGATGACTATATATCTGCAGCCCAATCCATTTACAGCAGCCAATGGATGCATTATGACTACAGGACTCAGATAAAAGGATATGAGGTCTTATGTAAGCAGAGACTCTGTGCAATCTGTTTTAAAATACTAGGGACTTCCAGCTTTTGTTTCAAATAATTACATGAAAACCAGTCCGTGTTGCTTTCTTCCCCCTCTCTCTTTTTTATTCATGTCCCATCAACAATACACAGCTCCTTCTTGTCCTGAACCCTGAAGTGAGTTTTTCTTTTTCTTCCCCCCCTAAAAGATGCTAAACTTTGCCTTCATGCCATGACTTCTCCTTTGCTTTCAACAATTTCATGAACATTCTGTGATGTCATTGCATCTCAGCCAATGGCTGGTGGGTGTCACAATGGGCAAAATATTTCTAGATCAGTCTCTTAGCTGTTAGGCTAAGGCGAGCTTTCAACCTCACGATGACCCTGGGGCTCAATTCCTGGGTTGTGCAGATCACATCTGAGGAACATCTCTCAAAGGCAGCTGCTTAGAGTCTTAGGATACATACTTTTTTGAGCCAACTTTCTAAAAACCAAAACACATTTTAGGAGTGGTGTACAACCTTTGGAAGGAAGCATACACAGTGGTTAAAGAGGAAAGATGTCACATACACTCCCATGTATTTAACTAATGAGCTTCTAGGAAACAATGGAAAATAAACTCAAGCACATAAACTCATTATCTGCCATGCAGTAGAATTGTAGCACGGCACTGTGTGGAAGGTCCACACAGGAGGAGGAAATGGTATGTGCACGAAGAACTGAGCATCTTACTTTGAAGAGGAAGAAACGACCCAAAATGAGAATGCAGAAAATACCTAGATGATAAATTCTGCGAATCTGATTAAAACTTCTGCCTTTCAACAAAATTCCTCAGAGGTTTCACCTTAGAAGCAACCTTCACATTTGTACTGGATTTTGCACTGAGTGAAATTTCAGAGGCAGTGCTAGTGTTTTTAGGTGGGGCGAATGGGGGACGGGACGGGACATCATATTATTCGCCAGCAAACTGGAATCCCTTGGCTGGTGTTGAGGCAGATCGAGTATGACGGACTGCTGTTTCCAATCAATTACACCACCTCCCCCTCCATCACAAGCGGTTTTCTCTGCTAATTATATGAGTTTATTATTCCTAAAGCCCAGGTTGAACTCCAAATTCCAGGGGTCAAATGGGGTCAGGCAAGCAATCAGTTCCACATTTTCCTAAGCGAGAAAGCCCCGCGCAATCAGTCACTGCCAAGCAGTTCATAATGACCAGCCTAGAAGTTAATGGCCTGAAGCAAAAAAAAAAAAAAAATCCCCTTTAAGAAAAGAAAAGAGTGCCATGTATATGTTTGGTGGTGGTGGTAAGGAAGAGGACAAAGGAAATGGCTGTTGTACCTTCTTTGGAATATTCTACGACAGAACCTTTAGAAACAGATGCAATCGAGGTCCCATCTCCGCAGAAGCCATAAAGCTCTGAATTAATCCCTGGACTCCTTTCTTGACCCCAGACTCATTTCTTTTTCTTTGATCAAAATTGTGCCTCTGATCAAAGGAAACCATTTTGTTTGGGGGAGGGGGAAGACAGATTAATAAAGCCCTATCTGAGGATTCAAGGAAATCAGCCCTGAGTGCTCACTGGAAGGACAGATCCTGAAGCTGAGGCTCCAAGACTTTGGCCACCTCCTGAGAAGAGAAGACTCCCTGGAAAAGACCCTGATGCTGGGAAAGATGGAGGGCACAAGGAGAAGGGGACGACAGAGGATGAGAGGGTTGGACAGTGTTCTTGAAGCTACCAGCATGAGTTTGACCAAACTGCGGTAGGCAGTGGAAGACAGGAGTGCCTGGCGTGCTCTGGTCCATGGGGTCACGAAGAGTCGGACATGACTAAACGACTAAACAAAAACAAATCTGAGGATTCAAAATACACAACCACTAGAGCATGGGTCCACTCTCAACTTGCCCTGTTTCCATGATTGCCACCTGCCAACACTGTCTGTGCACTTGCAGGCTCAGCTGCAGCAGGGAAGTCTGTCAATACGCACAGGCTGGAAACTTGAGCACTGTTGCCATCTTCTCAAATGTGCAGGAAGTGATGGGGAAAGGCCTATGTGGGATGTGGGGGTAAGTGCATGATGGGCAAATATGACCCCACTCTCCTACCTCGCATGGTTATTATTGAATGCTTGAATGCTCAAGTGTGTTTTATGAATGTCCTCACTGGATCAGACAAGGTCCATCTTTACTGACTTTCTCAACAGCACCCAGTTGGACATGTGCTAGCTAGATATGGTCAAATACAATGTTAGCCCTATGCAGTGTTCTGCCCGGACACTGAGGTCCAGCTCCGAGGGCCTTCTGGCGGTTCCCTCATTGCAAGAAGCCAAGTTACAGGGAACCAGGCAGAGGGCCATCTCAGTAGCGGCACCCGCCCTGTGGAACACCCTCCCACCAGATTTCAAAGAGAGCAACAACTACCAGACTTTTAGAAGACATCTGAAGGCAGCCCTGTTTAGGGAAGCTTTTAATGTTTAATGGACCACTGTATTTTAATACTCTGTTGGAAGCTGCCCAGAGTGGCTGGGGAAACCCAGCCAGATGGGTGGGGTATAAATAATAAATTCTATTCTATTCAGAGCAGAACTGTTGACATTAATGGGCATTGATTTCAGTGGGTCTACTATAGAATAATAGAATCATAGAATTGTCTCTAGTCTCTAGTCCACCCTGCAATGAAAGAATGTCAACAAAATCATCCATGACAGATGGCCACCCAACCTCTGTATTAAAATCTCCAAGGAAGGAGAGTCCATCACTTCCTGAGGGAGTCGATTCCACTGTCCAACAGCTTTTACCGTTGGAAAGTTCTTCCTGATGTTTAACTGGAATCTCCTTTCTTGTAACTTGAAACCATGCGTTCGAGTCCTACCTTCCGGAGCAAGAGAAAACAAGCTTGCTCCATCCTCCATGTGAGAGCCCTTTAGATACTTGAAGGTGGCTCTCATATCTCCTCTCAGTCTCCTCTTTTCCAGGCTAAACATACCCAGCTCCTTCAACAGCACCTCATAAGGCTTAGTTTCTAAACCCTTGATCATCTTGGTCGCTCTCCTCTGCACACGTTTCAGCTTGCTATTAAGACTGCAGAGAGAATAATTGGGTCCACTCTTCCCAACTTGGATCAAATCTATGCTTCCAGGTGCCATAAGAAAGCTGCAGAGAAAGTACAGGATAGTGCGCACCCTGGAAATGATCTCTTTCAGCTTCTGCCTTCTGGAAGAAGGTACAGGGTTATAAAGACTAGGACTAGCCACCTGAGAAACAGTTTTTATCCAAATGGGATTTTGGTTTTAAACGCAGTGTAAGGAGTCTCTATGGGAGTATATTGTATTTAAAAATGGGGTATCAGAGTTATAAGGGGCTAACCAGGTTGGGATAGCTGGGATAGCAGGCTTGTTGGTTTTTGAACATCTTATGGAGATTTTTCAATTTCGTTGTTCTGTATGGGACAATGACAATAAAGATTATCGTATCCTTCTTAAATTGTGGTGCCCAGAACTGGACACAGTATTCCACATGTGGTCTGACCAAGTTCTATTATGAGTAGAATTTACTTGAACATAAGCTGTAATCTCTTCTCCATTGACATGCCCAAGGCAGCTAACACAATTCCTCCATCTTGTCATGCTACGCTATAGAAGTGAAGAAAGTTGCATTTCCCATTAAAAGAAAGGATGCGGATAGCACCAGCAAACTTTCTGAAGAATTACAAAAGCACGACAGATCCCTTGTCTTCCAGGAAATCTGGCTGCTATCCCTCGATACTTCCTCTTGCATTTTTATTTTTATTTTTTACATTCAGGGAAGGGGTTGCCTTTATGGTACATGCCTGCTTTTCCTTTGCTCCATTTCATTTCCCTCGAGCATTGGCTCAAAAAAAATGCATTTTCAGCACGTACCAGGGCTCTTCTGAAGCCATGCAGAGCCTTAGATGGGAAAAGACCCCAGACCTCACTGCTCCCCTCCGTGAGCTGCTTAGATTAGATTTGCACTTCCCCAGCTGATTGTTGGTATTGGTTGCTGCCAGAATTGGACAGAGTAATAGCAAATCTAGAGGGGGGAAATCGGTTAACAAACCAGTGCTTGGAAATGACCTGGAAAATGGGAGGTCTCCAGGAGAAGGGGGTCTGGCTGTCAGTGGAATTAGAGGAGACAGCTGTTTAACCAAGTCTGGGATTACAGAGCTTCCAGGATTCATATGTAATCATCAGCTTCTTAAATTTCCTTTCTGCGGGGCTCCCTCTCCTTCCCCACCCCCAACCCCTGCCAGATCCGGGAGGGAGGGATGAAGATTTTCCAGATTTGTTACTAATTTCCTCAACAATGAAAAAAGGGGGAGGGGTGGGTTCTTTAACTGTCCTTGCTGCAGCGACCTCTCCCAGCATGGAAATAAGATGGCCAATCTGCTTGGTTCTGAAACAATCGGATTTCATGTGATGCGGAAAGTGGGAAGGGAGGGAGAAAATAGAACAATCAAATAGCGCAGCCACAGAAATATCCTTTGAAATAAATATGTTGGTGTTTAGTCATTTAGTCGTGTCCGGCTCTTCGTGACCCCATGGACCAGAGCACGCCAGGCCCTCCTGTCTTCCACTGCCTCCCGCAGTTTGGTCAAACTCATGCTGGTAGCTTCGAGAACACTGTCCAACCATCTCGTCCTCTGTCGTCCCCTTCTCCTTGTGCCCTCCATCTTCCCCAACATCAGGGTCTTTTCCAGGGAGTCTTCTCTTCTCATGAGGTGGCCAAAGTCTTGGAGCCTCAGCTTCAGGATCTGTCCTTCCAGTGAGCACTCAGGGCTGATTTCCTTCAGAATGGAGAGGTTGGATCTTCTTGCAGTCCATGGGACTCTCAAGAGTCTCCTCCAGCACCAGAATTCAAAAGCATCACTTCTTTGGCGATCAGCCTTCTTTATGGTCCAGCTCTCACTTCCATACATCACTACTGGGAAAATCATAGCTTGAAGTATACGGACCGTTGTCGGCAAGGTGATGTCTCTGCTTTTAAGATGCTGTCTAGGTTTGTCATAGCTTTTCTCCTAAGAAGCAGGCGTCTTTTAATTTCATGACTGCTGTCACCATCTGCAGTGATCATGGAGTCCATACAGTTTTTAAACACTGTGAGTGTTTACTCTTTTGTGTTTTGTTTTGTGTGTTTCTTTATCCTCCAATTATTTGCCCACCCATTTTGTTCAAATTCACAGAATCCATTCCAGCATTCAAAACTCCAGAATTGCTCTCGGAATACACAATCCAAGCAGACCTGGACAGCTGTCAGAACCACAGAACAATTATTTGACAGAACTGAGGGGACCTCAGCACCCCAGACTAAGATTCTGCCTTCTTTAGAGATCCATAGATGTTTGGGAAAAGGCTGGAGAAACTTGAGGAAGGGACGCTGTTCCATTCTTAATCTGTACATTAACCATTTTTGAAAGCGCTCCCCAAAATAGCTCCCAGATCAAAACGGGAGTAGTAATGCAACCAACATATACAGCAGAAATAAACAGAGCTGTCCCACTTAAATAGAGAGAATTCAGTGTGCTCTGTGCAAATATAATTGAGAGTCTGCACCACAGTTGACTTGAGATGGGAATCAAAGACATATTCACAGATTTGAGACGCACCAATATTTCCAGTTTCATATTCTATTTACTTACTTATTTATTTATCTATCTATGTATCTATTTATTGTGACATCAGTGTGACTATTTGAATTTCCGGTGAAATGATTTTTTTAAAAAAAATCTCAGAATGCAAAATCGGAGTGCGTTAGAGCTACTGGCATCTTCTGACTATCTTGACAATCTCTCACGGGAGATTTCAGGAGCTGATGGATACTATATTTAATTGCATGTCAAATATCAAAACTAGGCAAAACGCTACATACAAGGAGCGGAGGATTCTAGGTACACAGTAGTCACAGGTGCCTTAAAAAAAATAGAAAAATCCCCGTTACTGGCTGCTGAAGATGCGAGGGAGCAACTTTCTCACACAACCTGGAAAAGCCGCTAGTGCCATAAGCACCTCCTCTGATCCAAAGGTCATCTTCTCTGGGTGTCTCCACCAAAGGAAGTGAGATGCCTGGCTGCTCAAGAGAGAGAGAGCCTTTTCAATGGTCGTTCCCCGGTTCCTAAAATGCCCTCCCTAAAGAGACTTGCCTGCCATCTAAATTACGGCCCTTATTGTACCTGTTTAATTTTCACAGGCATTTAAAATTCTTCAGATCTTTCATGCTGTCTTTATGGTTTGCTGCATGTAGGTTCAATTTTACTGTGCTTGCTTGTTTTCTGCTTGCTTTAAAAAAATATATATATAGGGTTTTAAAAAAAAATAAAAATAAAAATTGTACCACTCACCACTCAGAAAATGTTAGTTATTCGTCATAGAATCATAGAGTCTGAAAGGACCTTGAGAGTAATAATAATAATAATAATAATAATAATAATAAAATTTACTTTTGCCCTCCCCATCAGGGTGGGTCTCCCCAGCCAACCCCCTGCAATACAGGAATATACAAATTTGAATAGTCAATATACAAATGCTGCTGGTGGACAAATAAATAAATAAAGCAGAAACTGCAGGAACAGCATCGCACCGTAATCATCAAAGACAGTCAGGTTTTAAATAGCACTGAATATCGGTTGTTTCAGCTGCTTCATGCAATAAAATTCTAAAGGCCAACACATGGTTAACTACTAAATGCTGTCAAACATCAAATGCTGGAATGAAATATCCCCGAATGTTGAACCGATATATTTTAACACTTGGAAATATAAAGCAAATATTTGAGTGTGCAGAGAATATTTAACGTCAAAATTCGTGGAGGAGAAGGTGGAGGAGAAATTGTGACAGCTTCCAAAGGACGCTTTCCCCCTTATTAATAGCCTCCAAGCACACGCTGATCTTGCCATGCCTCTGACCAACTCGCCAAACCACATCTCATCTCATCTCTCAATCTCGTTGCTCCTAAACCTGCAGGCATGTTTAGGCAAAGAGACTTTTCCTAACCGCATCCAAGCTGCTCATCATAACTTGAAGACGCCCCAGGAGTAACAATTGCGTAGCATATGTAATTCTAATATTTTTTTTAAAAAGGAAAGGCTGTAGAGCCTAAATTAGAATAACCAAAGAACCCACACGACTACACACCCCTTTAAACTGATATCTTGGCATTCCAAACGCCCAGTCCAATATATATTTGTTACATATACTGAGGGAGAGCCAGTGTGGTGTAGTGGTTAAGAGCGGTAGTCTCGTAATCTGGGGAACCGGGTTCGCGTCTCCGCTCCTCCACATGCAGCTGCTGGGTGACCTTGGGCCAGTCACACTTCTCTGAAGTCTCTCAGCCCCACTCACCTCACAGAGTGTTTGTTGTGGGGGAGAAAGGGAAAGGAGAATGTTAGCCGCTTTGAGATTCCTTCGGGTATTGATAAAGCGGGGTATCAAATCCAAACTCTTCTCTTCTTCTTCTTGGGTCTGGGAAATAGGCTAACCACAGGATGAATTATGAGTGTCTGGCATAATACGCTTTGCGATGATCAAGAGCGTCTATTTCCAAAGGCTCACCAGCTCAGTCAGAGTTTCGGGGTTGCAAATACGTAACGCAAGTAGGACTTGTCCACACTTCCACTGGGAAAACTCGCTGTTTACCGCTGAATTGGAACAAATATCAACCGGGTTTTCTAAGGATTGACGTTTGATCTGATTCAGCGGCGAACAGCTGGTTTTCCTGGGGAAAGTTGGAGGGCAAATGAAAAACCTAGGCAGCATGGAACAAGCTGGAGTGTAGACAAGCACTTAATAAAGCTACATACATAGGAAGGGTTGATTGGTCCAAGCCCAACACAAAACACCATTTCCGGTGATGCATGACTTCAGCAAATCTTTCCCTGATGTGAAATGGCCAAAATTCCTAGGATCCCTATCTACGGATCCTTATATGACTGAGCAATCCCCTTGAATAGTGCACTTTTCCTTTGCCCTACAGAGAAGACCTGTGGACACACTCAGGCCATTGGTCCATCAAAGTCTGTATTGTCTACACTGACTGGCAGTCTCTCCCAGCCCTACTTGGAGGTGCTGGTGGGCTGAACCTGAGACCTTCTGCATGCAGGCAGACGCTCTACCACAGAGCTATGGCCTTTCCCCAAGAAGGAAGGCAGATTTAGATCTCCTCATACATGCACATCCTTCATGGATCACTGCCTTGCCGTGGAGAAGGGGCTTGAATAACTCAGAGAAGCTATGAGCTATGCTGTGCAGGGCCACCCAAGATGGACAGGTCATACTGGAGAGTTTTGACTAAACGTGATCCACCTGGAGCAGGAACTGGCAGGCCACTCCAGTATCCCTGCCAAGAAAACTCCATGGACAAAAACAACAGGCATATAAAAGTTATGACGCTGGAAGATGAGCCCCTCAGGTCGGAAGGCGTCCAACATGCTACTGAGGAAGAGCGGAGGACAAGTACAAGTAGATTCAGAGCTGATGAAGCGGCCGGGACGAAACCGAAAGCTCGCTCAGTTACGGATGTGCCTGGAAGCGAAAGGAAAGTCCAATGCTGTAAAGAAAAATATTACATAGGAACCTGGAATGTAAGAACCACAAACCTTGGTAAGATGGATGTGGTCAAAAATGAGATGGCAAGAATAAATATTGACATCCTGGGCATCAGTGAACTAAAATGGTCTGAGGCTCAACATAAAAAAAACCCCTAAGATCATGGCCACTGGTCCCATCACCTCCTGGCAAACAGAAGGGGAAGAAATGGAGGCAGTGAGAGATTTTACTTTCTTGGGTTCCATGAGAAGGGGATGACAGAAGACGAGATGGTTGGACAGTGTTCTCAAAGCCACCAACATGAGTTTGACCAAACTGCAGGAGGCAGTGGAAGACAGGAGTGCCTGGTGTGCTCTGGTCCATGGGGTCACGAAGAGTCGGACACGACTAAACAAGAACAACATTCATGCACCCAGATTTCTCCAAAAAAATCTGACAAACTTTATACTGCAGTTGGTGAAAACCTGGGTTTTAACAAATGGTTGTGCCGGAATCTCATCGATTTATCCTCAAGACCCCCATCTAAAGCTCAGATAAGAAAAGGAGGATTGATAGCGAGTGATGGGAAGCAGAAAGTAGCAGTGATAAGATTGTCATTTATGCAAAATGCGGGCCAAAGAAGAGAGAGAGAAAGGTAGAAGAAGAAGCAGCAATCTGTCCTTTGTCGCCGCTGCCCTCACAGCCCATGAGTTATAGCTTATGGCTTAGTAGTTAATGAAGATGAATGGATAAAACGGCACCTCTCTTTCCTATACAGCTCATATTTGGTATATGAATATTCATGGCGGTAGAGAAGGACGAGGTAATAGCAGGCACCCTCGAAAGCACATGGTAGGTACCCACGGGACAAACACAAATCTTCTTGCCCAGTGGTTCCCAAACCTTTTCAGACCACTTCCCCATTGGTTCCAAAAACTCATCCAGGGCCAGATTTAGGTTTGATGAGGCCCTAAGCTACTGAAGGTAATTGGGGCCCTTTATATGTCCAGTTGTCCTTTGTCAACAACAAATTGTCGCTGTTTTTTTTTGTGTTGAATATATGCTATATGGTAATTTATGGACCTAATAGCTATCTAAAACCATTTGCACATAACAAAATATGTATTTTATCAAAATAATTGTTGAACTGAAATACAATTAAGAAGAAGTATATTAACAGTGAAATACTTTTAAATTTTGGGGGGGCCCCAAGAGAATGGTGCCCTAAGCTATAGCTTGTTTAGCTTGTACGTAAATCCAGCACTGAACTCATCCCTAGTGTCCTCTTACCCTATTACTCAGAACAATGGTTTGCATGGCGCACTAAGGAAGACAACACCACAGTAAAATTCAAAGCAGTAGCAGTTAATTGCACATTTGTTCAAAACCCAATTAAAACTATTTGATTCATTCCACAGAACTGATGAACCAGATTTACAAAGAATACCAGGTTTGCAAAGTCTGAATGTCATTTACGTCTCCAGCGGCCCCTGCTACCTCAGTGCCTCTTAGCACCCCCACCCAATGTAATATCACCACCCGCAGGGTGTGGCGCCACCCAGTTTCAGAACCACGGCTCTAGAACTTTGGTCTTCAACTTGGGATCGTGTCACTGACTCTCATTTGCAACATGCCATTGACAGCAGTAATTCCATCCATTCCATTTCATTTGTTCTGGACTATTTAAAAGAAAACAAGAGAGAGAAAGAGAGAGAAGGAAAGTTTGATGAAAGGGAGAGGAAGAGAAAACACACCACAGGGAGAGGATGAACGTATATGGCGCAAAATGTTTGCTGCAATTCTGTGTACCCAACCTGCGAGTTGCTGGCATTCCTCTATCTCTAGAGACAATGGAGTGCACCTCTAGAGGTGAAGTCAAACCATTGCAGAATCACAGTGCCTGCTGTGGCTGCAGAGGTCAGTAACTCATAACTGCCACCTCCCATGTTGCTTTTACTACGTTAGCAACACTGGAATGACCTGCCCAGGGTTGCAGGCCTGAGCAGTGTATATGGAGGTCCTAGGCTGCCCAGATGACAAGACAGCACTCTCGGCCTCGCTGGTGTGGTCCAAAGGAAAGCAGAGCAAGGCGTTTGGCACCAGCTTGGCTCCAGGAATTGTCTGAAGGAGGTGTACAAAGGCACCCTCCAACTGTCTTAGGGACTCTTCTCTGGGTTTACATAGGGTTTAATCCTTAGCTTTTTCTTCTCCCAAATATGTTCCGCAGGGCAGCCGGTACGGGTTTTCATTTTGAGTTTACTCCCAAATGCTTTCTCATGAATGATTATAGCCCCAAGCCAGAGGAGGTTTAGGATCAGAGTTTTCCTTCCTTCCCAGGTTGATGAGCCCCACCTGCTCCTACCTAGGAGTAAGTCCCATGAAACAGAGTGGGAGCACTACCAAGTAAACACACATAAGAGCAGGCTGCTCAGATGGACACCACATTTCAGGCTGGGCTTCCTTCGCCCCAAAAAGTTGAAAATGAAAGTTGGATAGTTGCGACAAGATGGCAAATCACAGCACTTTCCACCATAAGCTTTAGTACCAACACAAAATAGCAAGAAGAAGTAAACATAAATTGAAGTTGAAGCTGTTATTTTATTTATCCACTAAAATGCTGATGAGTTTCCACAAAGCTTTTATTTCTTTAAATTGTCACTGGTGTGTAAAGAGTTAAACTGAAGACCACTATGATCCACAGAACTGGCACTGTTCAAGGCACCACATAATACGTGTTCTGCATTTGCAAGAAATCAGTCTTTGTGTGTGGCAGCACCTGAACTTCGGAACTCCCTGCCTATTGACACAATGGAGGCAGTTTCACTGTACTCTTCTTGGTACCTGCTGAACACCTCCACATCTGCCATTCATTCATTTAATGACATTTATATACCACTTGAATGGGGGGGGGGACCCCAAAGTTGTTTGTGAAAATAATAAAATTGTGAGTAAAAACAATTAAAACACTTTTTTAAAAAAACCTAAAATGAGGAATAAACTAAAGGCACATCAGCATTCTAAGTATCTGGGTAAGTAAAAGTAAAGGGACCCCTGACCGTTAGGTCCAGTCGCGGCCAACTCTGGGGTTGTGGTGCTCATCTCGCTTTATTGGCCGAGGGAGCTGGTGTGCAGCTTCCGGTTCATGTGGCCAGCATGACTAAGCCGCTTCTGGCAAACCAGAGCAGCACATGGAAATGCCGTTTACCTTCCCGCTGGAGTGGTACCTATTTATCTACTTGCACTGGTGTGCTTTTGAACTGCTAGGTTGGCAGGAGCAGGGACTGAGCAATGGGAGCTCACCCCGTCACGGGGATTTGAACCGCCGACCTTCTGATCGGCAAGTCCTAGGCTCTGTGGTTTAACCCACAGCACCACCCGCGTCCCATAAGTATCTGGGTAGGCCTGCCTAAATAAAAATGGTTTGGCAGGCACCAAGAAGTGAAGGTGCCTACCTGATATCAATAGGCAGGGAGTTCCAAAGGCCGATTTCGTACAGAAGTGGAACGGGTATTATGTGGCCTCAGTAGCAATGCCAGTTCCTTATTGCCTCTTTAAGGTCAGAGCGAAACAAAATGAAGTCCCACTGTGAAACATGATCCAGAGTTTGCTAAACAGCAGAGGCTGTGCCTGTCCACAAGACTCTCTGATTGGAGAAGAAAAATGAGGACACAATTATTCCTGGGGTTAAAGGATGGCAGCGCACAATAGGCTTGCCACTCACCTGCTTATCAGACATGAGGTACAGATGCTTGTGATCCACAGAAAAAGCCATGTCCCGCAAGATTGGGCCTGTATCCACCACCTGGACAATCTCATACTCAAGGGCACCTCTGATGGGTCCATCGACACGGATCTGCGAAAACCAAAAAAGGGAGACATAAGGCAAAGGAACGATACGATACGATAATCTTTATTGTCATTGTCCCATACAGAACAACGAAATTGAAAAAATCTACATCAGACATTCAAAAACCCACAAGCCTGCTATCCCAACTATCCTAGCCTGGTTAGCCCCTAAAAACTCTGATACCCCATAACTGAATACAATATACTCACATAAAGACTACCTTACACTGCGTTTAAAGCCAAAATCGCATTTGGATAAAAGCTGTTTCTCAGGCAGCTAGTCCTAGTTTTTATAACCCTGGACCTTCTTCCAGAAGGCAGAAGCTGAAAGAGATCATTTCCAGGGTGCGCACTATCCTGCACTATCTCTGCAGCTTTCTTATGACACCTGGAAGCATAGATTTGATCCAAGGTGGGAAGAGTGCACCCAGTTATTCTCTCCGCACTCTTTACAACCATATAAAGGGCAAAACTTGCATCCAAAGTCACACTCATGTGTTGGTTATTTTGCCCTCTGGGAGCTAAAGGTTCTATGCATTTGTTCTAAAATCCACCCCATTATTTTATTATGTTCTCTTCCTGTCCTTCCTCCGAGGAGATCAGGGTGGCAAACGCAGATCTGCCCCCCACTCCAATCTTAACCTGCACAACAACCTTGTGAGGTAGGCTAGGCTGAAGAGATGGCGAGTGACCCAACTCATCCACTGAGCTTCGTGGCTGCGTAGAGATTTGAACTTGGGTCTTTTTCTAGCTCTAAGGAGGACAACAAATGCTTATAAAGTGAGGGAAACTGTTGCAGGAATTAAGCCTTCCTATTCTCACCCCTAAAGTCCTTCCCCCCTCCACAAAAAATGATGGACATTTGCAGCCGGGGAGTCCAAGATAGGAAATTTAATGATTTATTTCATAAAATTTATATACCGCTTGAGTGTAGGGGAGGGGGACCTCAAAGCAGTTTACAAAAAACCCAATAAAATGATCACTAAAGGAACGGCAACCATAATTTAAAGCGTACAGAAAACAACAATATAATAGACTAAAACACCTGCTAAAGACCTCATTCATTCATTTTGACACAATTTTTATTTGGTTTTACAAGTATAAAATTATAGTAATTGATTGTATTACTGTATATACTATAAACTTCATTTAAATAACCCCATCCAGGTGTTTAGAAAGCTGATGTTGAGCTTGAATGTTTTTAGTGTATTGTTACATGAACTTTTCAAAAGTCTTAAACGATTGCTATTTTTTTTTCTTATTGTTTTATCTTTTTTTTGCCCGGATGGGTTTGGTTTCTTATGATCAGGCAGATTTGACGAAATGAAAGAATAAATAAAAACGAGGCTTCTGGTTTCTCACACGGCAATGCAGAGCGAGAGGCAGACTGCAGTATTCTGCATTTTGTAACAAACAAAATGACTGTTGAAAAGAATGGCTAGTAGCCATAAGGAGAGCCTCACGGATCAGGCTAGTGGCGCATCTGTTCACGCATCCTGATCTCAGCCCCTGCACAACTGGGGGAATCCCCGGCTGCGTCACCTCCTGGCTAGCCAATCAGCTGGCTCTGGGGGCGTGGCCTGCCCTTTTTAATGAAGGCGCGGATCTCCCTCTTTTCCCGCCTACCAGCTGTTCCTGTTTCCCACCCTCCTGCCCTTTAAGGTTTTCATTCCTTGACCTTGCTATGGACCTTGGTTGGTCGCTGTTGAGGGGCCTGGTAGGAATTTTTCCACTTGTTTTTCACCCACCTCGTAGCAAATCGTCACAACTTTCTTGGTATTGGCGATTAGGCATTGGTACTGGTATTGTTTTGTAGATGGAAGAGGGGAGGAAGCGCCATCACCTGCCCCGCATATTGAAGGGTAGTCCGATAAAGGATTCCGGGGGGCGTGGCCCTGTCTGAAGCCTATGGAGGTGAGGGCCTAAGGCACGCCCCCTAGCGGTGACCCCGGGGGAGTTCCTAGTTGATGGGCATCAGCAGGACTCCCCCTACTGGTGGTTAACCCTTTCCAGACTTCAAGTGGACAGGCTGAAGCCGGATATAGTCGGTTAGGACCAATGCCTAAGCCAATACTGCTCATCACCTGTAAGCAATAAAGTTGTGGCCTTATTTAGCCCATTAACCTTAATAATTGTGTCATGTGTCTTTATTTCCACTGGGGGGGGGGGGAATCTCCACGCAACTGCCTCCTGCTGGAACGAGTTCCACAGTTTAACTATGCACTGTGTAAAGAAGGACTTCTTGTTATCTGTCCTGAACCTTCCAACATTCATATATATGTCTTAGTCTTCAGCCTCATTCGCTCACACAGAGCCAACTGACCAGGGTGAATAAAAATCAATGATTTTTTTTTTTTTTAAAAAATAATTAATTAAAAAATTGCATTTTTTAAAATTTAAATCGGATTTTTTTAAAAAAAAATTAAATAAAATTCTTTTGGAGGAAAAATCTTTCTAAATATAGTCTTCTATTTGTTACATTATAGTCCAAATGTTTGCTAAACCACAGTCTGTTTTTTTAAAAAGAATGTTTTAACCCCATCAGTTAACAAACATGGATACATATGCTATAATGTTATAGTTTTAGTTAAATAGTTTAAATGGTTATTAGGGAAACGATTATTTTCCTCTTTCCAATGAAGTACAGCAGAAAAGTTCACCAAATATGAACAGTTAATTTATTAAACCTCACCGTAATTTCACAATCACCTGCCTATGTATTTATGATAATAAAACTACTTTATTATTCCAAAAATGAAACCTTCATACGGCTGTAAATATTAAGATTATACCAGCAAGAATGAGTCTTTCTGTAAAAGAAAGAAAGAAAGAAAGAAAGAAAGAAAGAAAGAAAGAAAGATTTAAATCAAGTCTTACTGACTTGTGATTTAAACCATGATTTAAATCAAATCCACCCTGCAACCAGTCTCTGCTTTCAAAGTCCTGCCCCATAGCCAATCTGGCTGCCCTGAAGGACCCTGACGTAACAACATTAATTCCATCTCCCCAGAGATCTCCCGCCACGCATTTCTATTCTGCCAGGAAGGCTGCTATTAAAAACAGCCGCCCGGCTCTCTGCAAAGGTCAGCCATCAGAGGTACCCTGCTGGCATCTGTTTGTTTGCTTGTTTGTTTGTTTGTTCGTATGCTATCTGGGGCTGGCGGTTGTATTTATACCCACTGAAGTATCAAGGCAATTAATATCCTCTCCCAGTAGCAAACAGATGCTTGCGTTCAAGCCTTCCAGCTTCAGCCTGGCCCTGAATGATCTCCTTAATGAGCAAACAATACTATTAATCTTTAAAGGTGCAGGCGCCTTCGCTCTCCACCCCTCTCTAGGCTGGCCAAAGGATATTGCTCGCTAGGCTAGGCTAAGCTGACGGCAGGCAGCACAACATCAAGGCAGGAAGAATTCCAGCAGCTCTGGGGTAATAGGGGCAATCCTTTGGGGGCAGACTTCCTAGAGCTTGAGACCGCAGCAGCCACCATCTGCTGTCATCATGGCCAATGGCCAGGGAGAACGAAGGCTGTAGCTATAGATGGGGCAGGGGAGAGATCCGGATTCAGTTTCCATGTAAAGTCAGAGCGAGCAAAGTCACACTTCCCAATGCAACATGCGGACCGAAACACAGCCATCCTTTCGAAACGTGTGCTTCTCTGAATTTTTGCAGCGTAGTAAAATAAATAAATAAATAAATAAATAAATTAAATAAATGCATTGGTGAAAATAACATGCCAGTGCAGTATACAGTGGTACCTCTGGATACGAATGGGATCCGTTCCGGAGCCCTGTTTGCATCCTGAAGTAAACTTAAGACGCGACCACGAATCTACGCATGCGTGGGTCGCATTTCGCCACTTCCGCGCATGCGCGTGACGTCATTTTGAGCGTCTGCGCATGCACAAGATGCAAAACCCGGATGTAACGCGCTCCGTTACTTCCGGGTCGCCGTGGAGCGCAACCTGAAAACATTCATCCCGAAGCTACTTCAACCCAAGGTATGACTGTACTAGGGGAAGCTGTAAAAATATATATATTAGCCAAGGGGAAATACATTAAAAAATGGGGCACGTTATTAGAGAGGTGCATTAACATGCTGGTGGGTTTTTTTCATGTGCTGATGAAGAGAAAGAGCACAAACTCATGTGGAGAACACTGCTGGGAGTTGTTTATGTTTGTTTTCCAACGTATTTCTTACCAATAAAGAATTCGGTGTGGCGCATGCAAATTTTCATTCTGAAAGCATGGCCCAGAAAAGAAAAGAAAAAGTTTGAGAACCGCTGGTTTAGAACATTTCTACAATGCTCTACAGCCATAAAGGCTCCCTCTGTCGTCCCCTTCTCCTTGGGCCCTCCATCTTTCCCAACATCAGGGTCTTTTCCAGGGAATCTTCTCTTCTCATGAGGTGGCCAAAGTACTGGAGCCTCAGCTTCAGGATCTGTCCTTCCAGTGAGCACTCAGGGCTGATTTCCTTCAGAATGGATAGGTTTGATCTTCTTGCAGTCCATGGGACTCTCTAGAGTCTCCTCCAGCACCATAATTCAAAAGCACCCATTCTTCGGCGATCAGCCTTCTTTATGGTCCAGCTCTCACTTCCATACATCACTACTGGGAAAACCATAGCTTTTACTATACGGACCTTTGTCGGCAAGGTGATGTCTCTGCTTGTCTCAGCAGATTACATATGATCAAAACTAGACCGTCCCAACCCGCAGGTTTAGGAATCTAATAAAGCATGACACGCAAGCGAAAGGGGCAGGGAAGGGAGAGGAAAATGGAAACTCAGGCACCAGCGTCTAAACCATCATAGAATTATAGAATTGTAGAGGAATGACCAGCTGGCACAGTTCAGGGCCAGGAGGTCCCTGATGAAGCTGTCTTCTCACAGCAAATCTGATGGAGCGAGCTCAGCTTCGCAGCTCTCCCACTGCTGGAATAAAGTGGGATGGGACTTTAAGTATCTCAAATGAATAAATAAGGTAAACAAGGTCCATGCCAAGAGCCTGGCAACTCTGCCCATTAGGTGTGCCTCCCCATCTCTGCCCAAAGCCCCGGGCCTTATTCCCTTCCTTTCATAAATTAATCTCATTAGAAACTATCGTATTAAAGCGGTTGAAAGCTCTGTTTCGACACACATAATTTTACTTCAAGTCGCTTGTGGAAACAACTCAGAGGTCGTGAAAGAAAGAAGGTTAACAACAGGAAGATTTAAAGGAACTATTAGAAATGACTATCAAAAGCAGCAGAGAGATGAGATGATCAGAGCCCCCCCAAACTTGAAGCATGGGAAGTCCCAACAAAAAAATTATAATTTGGCAGAATATTTGCATTATTTGATACATATATGTATAATTTGGAAGATTTAATGTGATTGGATTGGATTGTTAAAATGGAAAACTTAATAAAAATGATTTTTAAAAGAAAAAAGAAAGTTCCGTTTCGACAAGGCGCAACTAGGCCTGGTGCTCAGCGCATCAATCCAGGCTGCCCTGAGTGCAAGCCGGCCAGAGCATTACGACTGCAGAGATGCCTCCCTAATGCCTTATTGCTTTTCCAATATCGGTTTCCCTCCCCTAGTTTATGAATCTAATGTCCCCCAAAGGACGGGCCGTAACTCTTTGCTGGTTGCCATTCCCAAGGTGGAGAGAGGAAGCAGGTCCTGAGCATATGATCTAACACCGAGGCCGTTATATATGTGAGGCATTCCAGCTGTTCCATTGATTTGGGCTACATGATGTCGCATTATTGATCCTGCTGATTGGGGAGGGCAGGCAACCATCAGGAGGCAAGGGGAGGGGGTCATTGGAAGTGACACACCATCTTTCCCTCATTTACGCTCCTCCGTCCAGGCTTAATGGCCTGCTCTAATTTGTCTAATGTCTGCTAACAGCCAATCAATTGGCAATAAAACTCGGGCTGCATCTTCCCTTGCAGGAGGCAGCCGCAAGGGCAATTTGCAAACTCTGCAAAGTGAAGATCGCTGCCAAGGAAGATTCAGGGTTCTTCCCCCAAATCCCAGGTAGTGTCTGGGCTAGAATTTGCAGCTGCTGCTATGAGGAGGAAGCCTTTATAGCAGGCATAGGCAAACTCGGCCCTCCAGAGGTTTGGAGACTACAGTTCCCATCATCCCTGAGCACTGGTGCTGTTAGGGATGATGGGAGGTGTAATTCCAAAACATCTGGAGGGCCAAGTTTGCCTATGCTTGCTTTATAGTAAGTAATAAACACACAAGACGTAACCGGCTGTACTTTTGAATAAATAAGGTATACTATTCATTGTATCAAATTGTAGATTTCAACGGAAGTCTCACAAAGTTCAACGGAAAAAGCAGAAGACCCAGTGGATCCGTTCATTCTCTAGTCAGTTCATGCATAAGGTCCATACATGAATAAGTATCTATTCCACCTGTCTGTTCTTAGAGTCCAATAATCCATACAAAGGGTTGTTACAGTTCCACAAAATCCATTCACAGAGTCTAAGACAAGGATTTCCGGAACAGTCACAAAAGAAATTGTGGTGTAGAAAGTTGCAGGCTTTTTTGCAAGAATCTCTGAGGCGTGCACCAACTAGAAACGAAGAAGTGTGTTGGCCTTGAATTTTTTCCAGGCACAGACTTGTGTGAAAATCGAGATTGCACAGAACCAGCCTGATTCTGTCATGAGTGCAAATCCTCCAAAATGCACCAGAATGGAGGGGCCTTGGGGTGTCTCAAGGTATCATCTAGCGCTCAACACACAGCCAGGCTTGCCAGCCAACTTCCTTTCTCCACAACTAAAGAAGAAGAAGTAGAAGAGGAGGAGGAGGAGGAGGAGGAGGAGTTTGGATTTGATATCCCGCTTTATCACTACCCAAAGGAGTCTCAAAGCGGCTAACATTCTCCTTTCCCTTTCTCCCCCACAACAAACACTCTGTGAGGTGAGTGGGGCTGAGAGACTTCAGAGAAGTGTGACTGGCCCAAGGTCATCCAGCAGCTGCATGTGGAGGAGCGGGGAAGCGAACCCGGTTCACCGGATTACGAGTCCACCGCTCTTAACCACTACACCACACTGAAAGCAAGTCAATGTTTTAAAAATCCATATCAGCAGCACACACATCTCATTCTAATCCCAGCACAAGGCAGCAGCTGGAGAGGCGGCCAGCAGGACACCTGGGAAGCTCTGCTATTGGCAAAGATGTAGGTTGTAATCCAAGGAAAGCATCACCCAGTGACCCCTTTGTTAAGCCGGACACCCAACCGAGATGCAAAATTAGGTCAAAGCAAGGCCTCTGTGTAAATCAAAGGGCTGGAGCGTTGCTGATCCTTTCCGGCACACTATATAGATTGCACACACATGGACTCACGCAGGGAGAAAGTTCAAGTAGGTCATTGCTTTCCTGGAAACACCTAAGGTAGAAGCCGCAGTACAAAGGACCTCCCTCTCCATGTCCTCACTGTATGCCAGCCAATCAACAACGTCCTCTGGGTGGCTCACAACTGTGCAAACCACAAAGCTGAATCAATCTATGCAGAAAGGGACCGACCACAGCAGCCAGCATATAACCATCATAAGGCAACATGAAAACAGAGCCATAACCCAGCCAGCGAGGAAAACAAAATAGTTCAAAAACTGGAAAGCATTTTTTTTAAACCCTAGTTGTTCAAAGTTCTGGGGAAATAATAACAATAATGTCTTCACCTAGCATGGAACATATCTTCTTCTTCTTTTATTTTTGGGCTATCACTTGTAGCTGAAGCATAAGCAACAGGTGAGCCTCTCTGGACAAAGTGTCCTATAACCGGGGAGCCACCACCAAGAAGGCACTGCGCATATGTCTAATGTTTGGCATGTCCATAATCAATGAGCCACCTCTCAAATAAACCTCTCCTGAACATGTAATATACTGTACTTGAGTCAATGTAAAAGTATACCCTCCCATCACTAAGACCCTTCTCTGTGTTCCCCTGCCATCAGCAGTGTGCATGAGAGAGACGCTGAGGGATAGGGCCTTTTCAGTTGTGGTGCCCAAATTATGTAAAAGCCTCCCTAGATAGGTGACTGTGGGCCCAAGACTGTCAGCTTTTAGACACTGTGAAAAATTGTTTTTTAGAACCACTGCCTCCTTGAAATATTTCAGTCTGAAGCAATTTATTTATTTGGATGCCTTTTCCCCCACGATGTTCTTGTTTTGTCTACTGTGAGTCACCAAAGACAGAATGTGAATGAATAAACTAAACTATTAGCATTATTATTTCACATCTAGACAGTGCTTCGTTTGATAAATGGACATGTCTGCTCTGTTCTGTCCAAAGGACTGAGCTAAAATGCAGCTCGTTCTTCACAAAACTTTTCACTGTTTTTTGGGCGATGCAAACAGAGTGAGGGCATGCACAGCACCGTCCCATCCTCTCTCGGAAAGCACTTTGCCAAAGAGGGAGGGGCAATGGATGCGAATTGGGACTGGTAGGGCAGATGGCAGGGAGATTGACAGTAGGTGGCGCCAGAGCCCATGAGAGGAACCAGAGCCATTGGCAGGCAGAGCCAACTAATTCTGATTATAATTCTGGCCGTATCCCATTCCCTGTTGAGTTCTACGAAGCCAGCACAGAAAGCCCCTGATTTCTCCAGAATGTCTCTGGGGCCTCTGTCAGGGCCCTGAAACACAACTGGGGAATTAAAGTGAAAGGAGGTTTGCCCTCCTAGGTGTGTGACATCATACTGGGTCCATAAGGAAAGGGTTAACTAATTGTAAAATGACTAACCAATGGGAACCCAAGGGGAGGAGTTAGAGTTATGAGTTAGGGTGGTTGAGAAGTCAGCCTGGAGTTAGAGAGGAGATGGGGAAGATAAGTCAGTGGGTTGGGCTAGTCTGATGGGAGAGAGTGAGAGAATCTGTTAAGACGAGTCAGTCAAACAGTTGATATAATCAGTCAGAAGGTATTAGGAAGGAATAGGCCGGTAAAGAAACTAAAGCTAAGAAACTGACAGGAATATTATCGGAGAAACCATAAACTTGTTAAGGTTTATGAAATAAACTTGTTTATTTGGTTCAATTTAAACAACAGTCTGGACTCAGTGTTTAAAGTTAAAGTATAGTTAAAGCTATGGTTTTCCCAGTAGTGATGTATGGAAGTGAGAGCTGGACCATAAAGAAGGCTGATCGCCGAAGAATTGATGCTTTTGAATTTTGGTGCTGGAGGAGACTCTTGAGAGTCCCATGGACTGCAAGAAGATCAAACATATCCATTCTTAAGGAAATCAGCCCTGAGTGCTCACTGGAAGGACAGATCCTGAACCTGAGGCTCCAATACTTTGGCCGCCTCATGAGAAGAGAAAAGACCCTGGAAAAGACCCTGATGTTGGGAAAGATGGAGGGCACAAGGAGAAGGGGAAGACAGAGGATGAGATGGTTGGACAGTGTTCTCGGAGCTACCAACATGAGTTTGACCAAACTGCGGGAGGCAGTGGAAGACAGGAGTGCCTGGCGTGCTCTGGTCCATGGGGTCATGAAGAGTCGGACACGACTAAATGTCTAAACAACAACAACAACGGGTTGCTGGCAGCAGGGAAGTGAGCACAGTGGTGGCACAGGGATCAATAGACCATTAAACGTCCGGGGACCCTGTGTGGTTGCCACAAGAGCCTTCATGTACAGTGGTACCTCAGGTTACATACGCTTCAGGTTACAGACTCCGCTAACCCAGAAATAGTGCTTCAGGTTAAGAACTTTGCTTCAGAATAAGAACAGAAATCGTGCTCCGGCAGCGCGGCGGCAGCAGGACGCCCCATTAGGTAAAGTGGTGCTTCAGGTTAAGAACAGTTTCAGGTTAAGAACGGACCTCCAGAACGAATTAAGTACTTAACCCGAGGTACCACTGTACTGGGGACATCCCCATGGACACAACCCACAAGGAATTTCTTATGCACAAGGAGAGCTCTTGCTCATCTCAGCAAGTTCCCAGGGGAGAACATCCTGGGCTTACCTCCCATTTCACCAGGCTCAGAGTCCTGTACCATGAAGGCCAGCGATCGTCTTGGGCTGCCGGCCACGGTGGGAGGTGATTCAATTCACCTCCATTTCATCTCTCCTCTGAGTGAGGGCCCTCCGCGCCAAGCCCACACAACAATCACATTCCCCAGTCAATTGACAGATGACATAATTTTTGAAATCTTGGTTTACACACACTCCCACCGCGCTGGCTGATTGATAAATTAGACACTTACAAGGCTTGTGCTAATCAATGGGAAGCGTTCGTTTGTAGCAACAAGAGGCAAGCTCGGGAGAGCTCATTTTTCAAGGTAACAGCCTGCCAAGAGCAAGCATTCAGCGCGCAAGGAGCCCTGCCAAGGCATCCATTAGCCGAGGCTGGGCTCACCCCAGAAGCAGCCGGCCTCTGCCAGGAGGAGCAGGCCCTACCCTTCCTGGGGGTTTGTGACATTGGGCAATGGAGTTCCACCTTCGACGGAGCTTCGCACACAGTGTCCTGCAGGGCATGTAGTATGCAAAGAATGTCAGTGGCTGTGGATTCTCTGCACTGAGCTTCTAAGGTATTATAATCACAGAATAGTAGACTTGTAGAGCTGGAAGAGACCCAAAGCATCCTCTAGGCCCAACTCCCTACAATGCAGGAATCCCAGCTAAAGCATCCCTGACAGATGGTCATCCAACCTCTGCTTAAAGACCTCCATGGAAGGGGAGTCCATAACCTTCTGAGGGCATCTGTTCCACCATCAAATAGCTCTTAAGGTAAAGGTAAAGGGACTCCGGAACATTAGGTCAAGTCATGGCTGACTCTGGGGTTGTGGCGCTCATGTCGCTTTATTGGCCAAGGGAGCCGGCGTACAGCTTCCAGGTCATCTGGCCAGCATGACAAAGCTGCTTCTGGCGAATCCAGAGCAGTGCACGGAAACACCATTTACCTTCCCGCCGGAGCAGTACCTATTTATCTACTTGCACTTTGACGTGCTTTTGAACTGCTAGGTTGGCAGGGGCAGGGACCGAGCAATGGGAGCTCACCCCGTCGTGGGGATTCGAACCACCGACCTTCTGATCAGCAAGTCCTAGGCTCTGTGGTTTAACCCACAGCGCCACCCGAGCTCTTACTATAGAATATAATTTAAAGCACGACCAATGGTCATTTAAACTGCATGATGGGGACTGTAATTTTTTACTCACAGAGCCTCATTTCCATGCACCCTTCATTCCCAGGAGTCATTTGTTTGCTTTCCCCTGCTTCAGAGGGTAGGACCCGAACAATGGTTTCAAGTTACAAGAAAGGAGATTCCGACTAAACATCAGGAAGAACTTTCTGACAGTAAGAGCTGTTTGACAGAAGGAGCGTCTCCACCCCCATTGTTCTGCCTGGACAGTGAGATCCAGCGCTGAGGGCCTTCTGGCGGTTCCCTCACTGCGAGAAGCAAAGCTACAGGGAACCAGGCAGAGGGCCTTCTCGGTGGTGGTGCCCGCCCTGTGGAACGCCCTCCCACCAGATGTCAAGGAAATAAGCAAGTATTTGACTTTTAGAAGACATCTGAAGGCAGCCCTGTTTAGGGAAGCTTTTTAATGTTTAATGCTTTAGTGTGTTTTTAATATTCGATTGGGAGCAGCCCAGAGTGGGAGGGTATAAATAATAATAATTTGTTGTTGTTGTTGTTGTTGTTGTTGTTGTTGTTGTTGTTGTTGTTGTTCTCCTTCTTCTTCTTCTTCTTCTTCTTCTTCTTCTTCTTCTTCTTCTTCTTCTTCTTCTTCTTCTCATTCTGTTTGCTATAGCCTCAGTTTTGCCTGTTTGGAATCAACTGCTTGCTTAGGCACCCAGAAGCCTGAGGGAGCCCGATAATTCATTCCTAATCTTTCCTATCAGGAAGCCCTAGCTGGTTTAGTGGCACTTTTATCTACATAAACACATATGGGAATCTGTCCGCATGTGCTGCTGACTGCATGAGGATGCATATGACGTGATGCTTGGAAACTGTTCTTGCAGCGACTCACTTGCAAAGCTGGCAGGCCAGACACTGTTCTTCAGTTGGGGATGAGATCATGCCTGCCTCACGCACATGGAATGCAATGATGACCTCCTGGGATCTGGCGGGGGGGTGACTCCAGAGAAGTGTAGCAGGCCTTGCCACAAAGGGCTCTTTGACTGACTGGTGTGTGTCATCAGGGAACCGGGACTGAAGGCTTTTTGAGATCACCACGATTGCCCAAGCAATGCACAGCCACTTGAAAAGAAGCTAGCCGGACTGCAGCAGACAGATGTACATGCTCAGACTGAGAGTCAGTGGGCACTCAAAGAGAAACAGCTCTCCTCTTTGAATCACACACAAACAAACACACACAAACACCACACATGGATGAACTATTGGAAAACTGAACTCAATTGCCTACCGGAACTCTTTGGCATGCATAGTCTGCAGTGTTTGGCTTGTGTTGCTTTATGTTACAGAGTAGACTTTGCCGGTTGCAATCGCTAGGACTTGCATTGTTAGAAAATAACAAGGTTGTTTATCATAGAACCGTAACAGGGCAGCATTGGAAGGGACTGCAAGGCCCATCTAATCCAACCCCCATGGAATCACAGTTAAATAACCCCAGACAGATGACCATCCAACCTATCCTTAAAAACTTCCAAGGAAGCCCAATACTCCATTTCACTGTCGAACAACTCATAGGGGTTGTCCACATTTCTGCTTAAAAACATATGGGTCCAAGTGGTTTTCTGCTTGACCCACACTTTCTAGGCATGAGCCCAAGCAGTTTCCCCCTTGCCTTGCTCCTTTCCAAGAGAAAACCCGCTCTCTAGTGCTCAATCAGAGCAAGCATCAATCCGGAGAAAACCTAAATTGTCGTTTGCTCCAACTGAACGCTAAAGAGTGGTTTTCCCCAATCACAAAGCAATGGGATAAGAGGAAGCACTTACTGTCAGAAAGTTCTTCCTCATGCTTAGTGGTAATCCCTCTTCTTGTAGTTTGAATCCATTACTTCAGGTCCTACTCTCTGGAGCAGCAGAAAACAAGCTTGCTCCATCTTGCATGTGAGAAGCCATTCAGATCTTTGAAGATGCTGTCATATCACCTCTCAGTCTCTTTTCCAGACTAAACATCCCAAACTCCCTCAATCTTTCCTCACAGGGCTTGGTTTCCAGACCCTTGATCATCTTGGTTGCCCTCCTCTGTACACCTTCCAGTTTGTCAATATTCTTCTTAAATTGTGGCACTCAGAACCGGACACACTATGCCAGGTGTGGTCTGACCAAGGCAACATAGAGTGGGATTATTACTTCCCTTGACCTGGACACTAGACTTCTGTTGATGAAGCCCCGAATAGCATTAGCTTTTTTTGCTGCTGCATCACACTGTTGACTCATGTTAAACTTGGGTTCTGTGAAGACCAATTGTTTTTGGTCACGTGTACTGCTGACAAGTCAGCGGTCCCCTATCCTATATTTCTGCATCTAATTCCTTAGAATAAAAACGCCATTAATATAGGAAGTGCCTAACTTCAATAGGAGTGTGTGTAAACCAAGTTTGTAGATCTAACTTAACAAATCTAGAGAAGATTAGGGCAGCTATGTTTTCTCCTTTCTTCTCAGAGGATAGATCCCAGGTGATCTCTCATCTTGAGGTCCCACAGAGAAGTGTAGGAGGAGGAAGTTGTAAAGAGGATTCAAACTAAGTGAAGGTACATTTTTTCACCTTTGGTGGACATGCCCAAAGATTAAGGCTTTCTGGGAAATGATATATAATGAATTAAAAAAGGTATTTAAATATACCGTCTTGAAGAAACCAGAGGCCTTTCTCCTGGGCATAGTCGGCCAATCGGTGTTAAAAAAGGATAGAACTTTCTTTATGTATGCAACAACAGCAGCAAGAATACTCATTGCAAAGTATTGGAAGACACAAGAGCTACCCACACTGGAGGAATGGCAGATGAAACTGATGGACTATATGGAATTGGCGGAAATGACTGGCAGAATCTGTGACCAGGGAGAAGAGTCGGTGGAAGAAGATTGGAAGAAATTTAAAGATTACCTACAGAAATATTGCAAAATTAAAGAATGTTAGAGTGATGATGGATTGAAATTAAGTGGCTTCTAGCTGTACAGCCCTTAAAGTTATATACAGATCAAGATTAAGGATTAGGATTAAAAAGGTTAAAAGAATGGAAAATTGGCTATTAATAGATAAAAATTTAATGTTATATTATATTAAGATTAAGGATTGGGATTAAAAAGGAGGGAAAGGAATTGCTGGACAAACAAACTGAATTGGAATGCAAAAGAGGGAGGTAGGAGGAGCTCCAGAAAATAAGTAAATTCAAAAGTAGTGATGAAAAGATGGAATTGTTTTTAACTGTTTTTTCTTTTCTTTTTTTTTGTATTTTGTATTGTGTATTTTTCTTTTTATTTTTAAATTCTTTTCTTATCGATGTGTTTCTTTTTATGTGAAACTTTAATAAATATCATTTAAAAAACAAACAAACTAAGATGTACCTATTTAAACATCAAAGAGGTAGGGAGGTCAGCAGAGCGGTTAACTTGGGATAGTCTGGAATAGTCTAGGAATCTGGAGGTTCTTAACTCTATCTGACTCAACCACACAAATCCCTCTTTTGAAATCTGTGTTGTGTCCAAACTTTCAAAAAGAAAATCACAATTTCTGTACTCATCATAGAGAATAGGGAGGCATCTGAAAATACAAGAGTCCAGGGGCACTCATGAATGCATTGGTAGCCCAAATATGTCCTGAAACTTAGGTAATTTGGGGGTTACAGCAACGGTGCCTGGATTGCTCAGAGTGGACCTGTTATTTTGCTTCCAGTGCTGCCTGCAGCCTTGCACAATACCCAGCCTCTTTATTCATTTATTGGCAGATTTATAGACTACACTTTCATAAAAAAAATATATAGCAAGGTAGTATACAGCACACAATATTACAATAAGAGCAGTAAAGGTGTCCATAAAAAGGTTAGTCAATACCGGTCAGTTATAAAGAAATTCACACTTCAAAGGCTTGTCTGAGTAACATAGCCGTTAGGAGATGTCTAACAGAAGACAGGGATGATAGCTGCCAAACCTCTCCTGGCAGGTAGTTCCACAGGGCAGGGTCTGTCCCTAGTAAAGTCTGGCTGAACCTCAGGGGTGTGGAGGAATCACAAGAAGGGCCCATCAGAGGATCTCAGTGATGGAGGCAAACCATAAGGAATCTGATAGTACTTTAGGCCTGATATGTGATTCCTCGGGGGTGGGGGTGGGCTAGATGACCCTCAAGGGTCTCCTCCAACCCTACATTCCTATGTTTAGGGTTCTTTGTGAATTAACCAAATAACATCAAACCCAACCCAGCCTGATAGCCACCTAATGCAGTTTTCTCATCATCAATGTGTTGCTTTCATAGAATTAGGGAATCATATAAATGTAGAGATGGGAGGGACCACACAGGTCATCTAGTTGCAGGAATCTTTTGCCTAACATGGTGCATATTGTTCAGATGCCTGGTTATCGTCTTTCGAAGCAACTACTCTATTCCGAACTTAAAAATGGAAAGCATATTTCCGGTGGTCAACAAAAGAGGTTCAGAGACTCTCTGAAGGCAAATCTTAAACAAATGTAGTATAAACACGGACAACTGGGAAACACTGGCCTGTGAGCGTTCCAGTTGGAGAACAACCTTTGCCAAAGGTGTCATGGACTTTGAAGACGCCCGAACTCAGGATGAAAGGGAGAAACGAGTTAAGAAGAAGGCACGCTTGGCAAACCCTCACCGTGATCAACTCCCAACCAGAAACCAATGTCTCCACTGTGGAAGGACGTGTGGATCCAGAATTGGCCTCCACAGTCACTTACGGACTCACTGTTAAAACTGTGTTTATGGAGGACAATCTTACTCGGCTACAAGTGCTAGCCAAAGAAGACGATTGAACCCACAGCCCTGAGATTAACAGTCTCATGCTCTACCAGCTGAGCTAAGCAAGGAGGATTTGCTTCTTGCACCTTCTTTCCAGCAGGGAGCTCAAGGAGACACACACATTTCTTCTCCCCGTTTTATCCTCACGATGACCTTGCAAGGTAGGTAAGGCTGGGAGCGAGTGATGGACGCGAGGCCACATAGAGAGTGGGGGATTCAAACCCTAGTCTCTCCCGAGTACTAGCTGGACACTCTAACCTCTGCACCACCACATTGGCCCAGAGCAAGGGTAGGCAACCTAAGGCCTGGGGGCCACATCTGGCCCAATCGCCTTCTAAATCCGGCCCCCGGACAGTCTGGGAATCAGCATGTTTTTACACGAGTAGAATGTGTCCTTTTATTTAAAATGTATCTCTGGGTTATTTGTGGAGGAGTGAGGATGCGAACCTAGTTCACCAGATTACGAGTCTACCGCTCTTAACCGCTACACCTCCCAAGTTCAACCCTGGCATCTCAAGGTAGGGCTGGGTGAGAAGGCTGTCTGAAAACCTGAAAAGCCTCCGCCAGCCAGTGCCCATTAATACTGAGCTAGATGGACCAAAGACTATAGCTGTCAACCTTCCCTTTTTTGCGGGAAATTCCCTTATTTCAGCGCCATTTCCCGCTGCTTCCCGCTGCTATCCCGGATTGTTAGATATCCCGTGGACTGTCCCTGGGACAGGTGAGGCTGCTGATCCCTTATTTTCAAATCTGAAAGTTGACAGCTATGCCAATGACCAGATACAGAGTAAGGCACCTTCTTCCGCTCATAAACCAGGGGTAGGCGACCTAAGGCCCATGGACTGGATGCAGCCCAATCACTTTCTAAATCCGGCCCCCAGACGGTCCGGGAATCAGCATGTTTTTACATGAGTAGAATGTGCCCTTTTATTTAAAATGCATCTCTGGGTTATTTCTGGGACATAGGAATTCATTCATATATTTTTTCTCCAAAATATAGTCCGGCCCCTCACAAGGTCTGAGGGACAGTGGACCGGCCCCCTGCTGAAAAAGTTTGCTGACCCCTGGCCCAGAGCGTTGCCTGCTGCCTGCTGCTGTGAGCTACCTGTGCCAAGCTTGTTTGCGGCATCGAATGTTTTCTTTCCATTCTGCTTTGCCTGTGTTCCTGGCTAGTTGAAGCGACAGCTCAGGTTGATGCCTCTCCCTCCTCTGTCCTTCCTTTTGCTGTCCCTGAAGCTGTTCGAGGAAGGCGGGGAGAGGGAAGGAGGGAAGAGCGAGGAGCGCCTGTCGCTCACCGGCCTGAGCAATCGCCCTCCTTTGGGAACCTGAGGCAACCCGGTCAATGAAACTCTACCCAAAGTGGTTTTGACATGAGGTCACGGACCGAGACAACGCAAGGTCAGGAGTTCAGCGTCAATACAACAAGTGCCAGTCACTGCACAAAGGCGGCGGAGATCAGACATGGCTATCAAGCGAGGGCTGTCCGCAAGAGCAATCGAGCACCGAAGACAGGGCGCTGGCGGCTGCTTACTTCAGAGACGCTTCTCTCGGACTGCGCCAGGCCTTTTCTCCACTGCCAGGTCTCCTCAGCCTCCCGCCCCCTGCCTTTCAGACACAGACAAGCCAACAAACCAATAGACCATAAAGAAAGAAATCTCACAGTGGCCGGTCAGAGGCCCGTGGGAATTCCACGAGAAGGATCTGAGCACAAGAAGTCTCGCCCCTCCTGTGGTTTCCAGCAACTGGTATTCAGAAACATCGCTGCCTCCAACTGTGGTGGCAGAACATAGCCATTGCGGCTAGGAGCCATTAGCTCTTCCATGAAACGTGGAGAAATATGGTAGCTAATGGGACCATGGTTAACTCCTGAACCACGGGATCATGTGCTTGTTCTATGAATAATTGAAAAAAAGAAATCAGAAAACACGTGACTGGATTGAGAATTAAAGCTTTGGCATTTGCTTTTATGGACAGGGAACAAATACAGTGGTACCTCTGGTTGTGAACAGGATCCGTTCCAGAGCCCCGTTCGCAACATGAGAGAACGCAACCCGTGTCTGTGCGGGTCGCGATTTGCCACTTCTGCGCATGCGCATGACATCATTTTGCGTGTCTGCGCATGCGCGAGTGGTGAAACCCGGAAGTAACCCTTTCCGGTACTTCCGGGTTGCCATGGGCGCAACCTGAAAAATGAAGCAAACGTAACACGAGGTATTACTGTATTGTAACAAAAGGAAAATATGATATATTGTAAAAAAACAGCAGAATGCAATCGGGAGGATAATAAATCAGAAATGGAAGTTGAGGGAAGTCCAAAGGGAGGGAGGAGGAGATATTATGCAAATTGTATGTTGTGGATAGAAGTATATTTGTGATGAGAAAAAAATAAAATTAATTTAAAAAATAAAATAAAAGAGAATTAAAGCTATGAGGGTATAACTGATCACTAAAGCCTTTTTTAAAAATTCAGAATCACAGAATTATAATGTTGGAAGGGCCCACGAGGGTCATCTAGTCCAACCTCCTGCAGTGCAGGAATCTATTTCCATTTTTTCAGCTTCTAATTTGTCTGCATTGTTCATATTTACAGTGATGAGAGGCAACTGCATCTTTATAAAACTATAAAAATTGTAATAATAAAAATGACAACATGGAGGGGCAGGTTAGGGGGCTGAGCCAAAATGGTGAAGGGGGGCCTTATTTATAATAGAATAATAGAGTTGGAATGCAGGAATACACAGCTGTCCCATACAGGGATCGAATCTGCAACCTTGCCATTATCAACGCTATGCTCTAACCATCTGAGCTATCCAGGCTAAATGCAAAACATTTCATACACACTGGTAGCAGCACGTCTGCTGGGGCGGAGAGGCTGGGAACCTCTTTCATCACCAGAAGCATTGCTACTTACCTGTATGGGCTTGAGATGGGGCAGAGAAGCGCCAAGACCACATAACACCGGTCTTGAAAGACCTACATTGGCTCCCAGTATGTTTCCGAGCACAATTCAAAGTGTTGGTGCTGACCTTGAAAGCCCTAAATGGCCTCGGCCCAGTATACCTGAAGGAGTGTCTCCACCCCCATCGTTCTGCCCGGACACCGAGGTCCAGCACTGAGGGCCTTCTGGCGGTTCCCTCACTGCGAGAAGCCAAGTTACAGGGAACCAGGCAGAGGGCCTTCTCGGTAGTGGCACCCGCCCTGTGGAACACCCTCCCACCAGATGTCAAAGAGAAGAACAACTACCAGACTTTTAGAAGACATCTGAAGGCAACCCTGTTTAGGGAAGCTTTTAATGTTTAATGGACCACTGTATTTTAATACTTTGTTGGAAGCAGCCCAGAGTGACTGGGGAAACCTAGCCAGATGGGTGGGGTATAAATAATAAATTATTATATTATTACAGTGGTACCTTGGGTTACAGACACTTCAGGTTACAGACGCTTCAGGTTACAGACTCCGCTAACCCAGAAATGGTACCTCGGGTTAAGATCTTTACCTCAGAATGAGAACAGAAATCTCACGATGGTGGCACGGTGGCAGCGGGAGGCTCCATTAGCTAAAGTGGTACCTCAGGTTAAGAACAGTTTCAAATTAAGTTCTTAACCCGAGGTACCACTATTTTTATGAACACTATTCATTATTATGAACACTACATGGTGGCAAGTTAAGTATTTCATTCTGAAACTGTGTGCGGCAGTTACAACAGCAGCCAGGCTTTCTAGCTGCTTAGAGCTGCGGTCGCCTGCAAGAGTTATAGCAGAAATGTTTGAAAGAAGCAGCCTGTGGACCACCTCATGACTCTGCAAGCGAGTTACAAAATCAGAAGGGTAATACATTCCACATTAGCCTGGGAGACGTGGATGAAGTCAGCAACTACAGAAGGCATGCCTCCGACGAAACATTTACTCTCCAGCTCAGTATTATAATGGCCTCCCTCCACGAGGTTTTGGACCCTCCTTCCCTGGAGGTTTCGAAGCAGAGGTTGGATGACCATCTGTCATGCATGCTTGAGTTGAGATTCCTGCATTGCAAGAGGGGGTTAGACTAGATGACCCTCGGGGTCCCTTGCAATTCTATGATTCTACCATTCTGCTCCATTTTACACACCAGTCCCTCTGTCCACCTAACAAGACACCAGGCTTTGTTCGCAGCAGCAGCAGCTCCCCAAATCAGCAATAGTGTGCACATTTTAGTAATGCTGAATGAAGCAGACCAACGTAGCTCTTTCTCTCTCTCTCTCTCTCCCGCCTTCCCCTGCTTGCCAGTTCTTTCATTTTCCGCTGCTCCCCTTTGAGGAGCAGAGGAGGACACCTAATTAGAAAAAGGAAGAAACTCTTGTTTGCACACACAGATCTTGGCAGGCAGGCAGAGGAGGAAATGCAGCGGGGGAAATATTAGTCGGCGCCTTAATATCTTGGAAACCAGGGGAGGCAAAATGCAAAGGAAAGGAAGTATCGGAGGGTTTTTAATACTTCCTCTTTCAGATAAGATAATTTCTTCTGAAGAACCGGCACAGTGCGTGGGGGCTCTGGGAAAAGCCCTCATCGGAGTCTAGGGTCGGTGGGCTTTAGTTCTTCAGCTTTGTGACATATAGTGGTACCTCGGGTTACAGACACTTCAGGTTACAGACGCTTCAGATTGCAGACTCCGCTAACCCAGAAATAGTACCTTGGGTTAAGAACTTTGCTTCAGGATGAGAACAGAAATCGCGCAGTGGTGGCAGCGGGAGGCCCCATTAGCTAAAGTGGTGCTTCAGGTTAAAAACACTGGTAGAGCCAGTGTGGTGTAGTGGTTAAGAGCGGTAGACTCATAATCTGGGGAACCGGGTTCGCGTCTCCGCTCCTCCACATGCAGCTGCTGGGTGACCTTGGGCCAGTCACACTTCTCTGAAGTCTCTCAGTCCCACTCACCTCACAGAGTGTTTGTTGTAGGGGAGGAAGGGAAAGGAGAATGTTAGCCGCTTTGAGACTCCTTAAAGGGAGTGAAAGGCGGGATATCAAATCCAAACTCTTCTTCTTCAACAGTTTCAGGTTAAGAACGGACCTCCAGAACGAATTAAGTTCTTAACCCGAGGTACCACTGTACTTGTAGGGAACCTAGGGCAACAGGACAATGATCTCAGTTGGGACCTTTCATGGCTCAATATGAACCATAGGAAAGCTTTTGCAGGCAGATCCCCATCCCAGTGCCTCAAAGTGTCCCAATTTAAGGGGGACAATCCAGATGGACAGAAGCCGCCTTTGGCTTCTGATCCCAATCCCAGATGTTCCGTTTTGGCTCCCACGTTCTGGTTGGGACTAAGAAACAGGGGTATTTTGCTTCTGCGCCATGAGAAGAGTTTTCAGCGGGTGTTTAAAATTTGGCACAGAAGGCACCTGCTGAATCTATATTGGCAGACTTTGCCACAAGGCTGGGCCAATGGTACCACAGGCTCAGCTTCTAGTCATTGTCAAGTGAGCCGCACCAACCAAGGGAACAATCTCAGCGATGAAGCTGGGAGAATCAGGGTTCAGATGATCCCGGAGGTACCCTGGACCTAAGTGGTTCAAGGTCTTTGTAAATTAATACAGTGACCTTGAACATGGCCCCAGCAGCTGAATTTAAACAGATGGCAGGGAGAGAGTGGCTTGGCAGTGGGGACCAATGGTGGGCAAGAGCTGGAAGGAGGAGGGTCCACATTCAGATGGGTTCAGGAATAAGCCAATCTATTTCCCATGTTGTGGAAAGAGTTTGTCTCTTTTCCAAGTAAAGGGGGTATGGCAGCATCACTTTCCGTTCCTCTCTGTGTTCATCATTTGCAGCAGCGCTTCCGTTCAGCTGCAGTTTGCCTTCCACCAAAACCTAAAATATACATCTCGCTTTTTGTTTTCTTCTGCTCTGGAGGGTAAGACCCAAGCCAATGGCTTCAAGTTACAAGAAAATCTGCCTGAACATCAGGAAGAACTTTCTGATGGTAAGAGCTATTCAGCAGTGGAACGGACTCCCTCTGAAGGTGAAGGATTCTCCTTCCTTGGAGGCTTTTAAGCAGAGATCAGATGGCCATCTGTCATGGATGCTTTAGTTGAGATTCCTGCATTGCAGGGGGTTGGACTACATCACCCCGGGGTCCCTTCCAACTCTACCGTTGTACAATTCTATGAAATTTTGCAATTTATGTAATTTACGTAATTAAGTAAGAAAAAATCATTGTTCTCACATTATTCCACAGCACTCATTTCAATGCATAGGAAACATAATGCAAAAGGGAGGGGGTGCACTTAATCAGGTGAGAGGGGCCTGCTCAGGAGGACGGAGAAGCCAAGGAAGGACATTGGGACCCAGTAGATGACCAAGGATTTGGGAGAAGCTGACTGCGTCAACACAGGGCCTTCACTAGCATAGCAGCTCCCTGCTAGTTCCTGTAGATCAGCAGTTTCCAAACTTTTTCAGACCATTGCCTGCTTGGTTCCATAAACTCATCCCCAGTGCTCCCTTACCCTAATATACACAGTGGTACCTCGGGTTAAGAACTTAATTCGTTCTGGAGGTCCGTTCTTAACCTGAAACTGTTCTTAACCTGAGGTACCACTTTAGCTAATGGGGGTCTCCTGAAGCAAAGTTCTTAACCCGAGGTACTATTTCTGGGTTAGTGGAGTCTGTAACCTGAAGTGTCTGTAACCTGAAACATCTGTATGCCAAGGTACCACTGTAAAACATTATTCAGAACAGTGGTCTGCATGACCCACTAAGGAAGATAATAGCGCAACAGAATTCAAAGCAGTAACAATTAATTGAACATTCAAGATTCAATTAAAACTATTTAGTTTTAGCTGAACAAAACTGATGAACTTCATCCAGCGATACTAGCTTTTCAAAGTTTGATAATCACCTGTACCTCTAGCATCCCAAGCTTTCCCCTTGCCACTTAGCACAGATCCTGAAGCTGAGGCTCCAAGACTTTGGCCACCTCCTGAGAAGAGAAGACTCCCTGGAAAAGACCCTGATGTTGGGAAAGATGGAGGGCACAAGGAGAAGGAGACGACAGCGGACAAGATGGCTGGACAGTGTTCTCGAAGCTACCAGCATGAGTTTGACCAAACTGCGGGAGGCAGTGGAAGACAGGAGTGCCTGGCGTGCTCTGGTCCAGGGGGTCACGAAGAGTCAGACATGACTAAACAACTAAACAACAACAAGGTAATTCCCCCCAGGGGGTGGTACTGCCCAATTTGGGTACCACTGGTGTAGGCGGTGCCAGCTCATCCTAGCTCCAAGGTGCAGGAAACGGACAATGGGAGCTTCCCCTGTGGTGCTGTTGTCGCAACATCTGCTGACCTATGGATCAGGGCTTAGAGGTCAGCTGGGGAGGAAACGAATTTCACCAATTGATGGAACTTAGCAGCCGGCAAAATTGAATCAAGCCACACTTTTCCGAGATCTTCCTTGACCTGCGCAAGTTAACTGCCAAAACCATCTGACAGAGTGCTTGTCATGGGGATAATCTTCTGTGCAAAACATGCATTAGGAAATGAAGGGCATCCTTGCTAAAGGACAGTAATTCCATATAATTTCTCTCTCTCTCGTCCATCCGCACACTAACTTACTGAACTAGCTTTACAGCTCAGCTGGGAGAGGTGACAAGACAATTTTGACTGCCAGTTGCCACGAGGTGGCAGCATATAAGTGAAAGCAGTTTGGTGTGAGCAGAATGGGGTGGAAGATGCACCTGCAATCATGTTTTGGTCCTAAAGGGAGCTTGTTCAGAAGGAGTGGGGTTTTTCTTTCCAATTGCCTCCTGGCTAGATCTGTGCACTGGAAGAAAAACAAACCTGATGCAACTTCTGGGAAGCTGGATGCTAACAACATACCCCTTTTGTTATTTTCTGTCTTGTCCTGCTCAGCGTAGTCAGAAGGGACCCTCTACTTCCCTGCTTATTCAGCCCTATGAGACTCCCCTCCCCTGTGTGCCTGACTATCTGACCAGTTGCTGCATTGTGATCTCATAATTGACATCACAACTTCTTGTCGGTCAACCATTGTGGCCTGGAACCTTTTACCCTGAAGCCAGTGTAGTGTAGTGGTTAAGAGCGGTGGACTCGTAATCTGGTGAACCGGGTTCGCTTCCCCGCTCCTCCACATGCAGCTACTGGGTGACCTTGGGCTAATCACACTTCTCTGAAGTCTCTCAGCCCCACTCACCTCACAGAGTATTTGTTGTGGGGGAGGAAGAGAATGGAGATTGTTAGCTGCTTTGAGACTCCTTCGGGTAGTGATAAACAGGATATCAGATCCAAACCCTTCTTCTTCTACAAGAATGCTGGCTTAGCTCTTGGAGAAGGGGTGGGAAACATATTTTCAGCTCAGGGGCCTCATTTCATCATACTTGCCATCCTGGGGGCCATATGCCAGGGGTATGGGTGGGGCTAGAGACAGAAGAGGATGAATCTAGTGCCAAAAGTGGTTCGGGAAATGGGCGTGATTCTTCTCTTGGCCCAGTAGGGTGCATCCCAGCCAGTCAAAACCAGTTGGAGAAGACGCAGAGCCAGGCTGCGAAGGGGATATGAACTGGGTGTGGTCCAGGAATGGGAGGGCAACCTATGGAGCCAGACAGAGTTCCTGTGGCCCCACAAGAAGCAGTGATGGCCACCAACCTAGACAGCTTTAAAGGAGGATTCAACAAATTCATGGAGGAGAGGGCTAGCAATGGTCACTAGCCATGTCTATGTTCTGCCTCCACTGTCAGAGGCAGCAGTGGTTCTGAATACCAGTTGCTGGAAACCACAGGAGGGGATTGGGCCCTTGCACTCAAATCCTGCCCCATAGGGGCATCTGGTTGGCACAGTGAGAGCAGGATGCTGAACTAGATGGGCAATTGGCCTGATCCAGCAGGAACCTAATGTATGTACAGTCATACCTCATGTTACGTTTGCTTCATGATGCGTTTTTTCAGGTTGCATCCTGTGGTGACCTGGAAGTACCAGAAAGGGTTACTTTTGGGTTTCACCACTCACACATGCACAGACACGCAAAATGGCATCTCGCACATGTGCAGAAGCAGCGAATCGCAACCCACGTGTGCATAGATGCGCTGCTGTGGGTTGCGTTCTATTCATGTTGCGAACAGGCCTCCAGAACGGATCCCGTTCGCAACCAGAGGTACCACCCGTTCGCAACCAGAGGTACCACCACCACTGTGGTGGACCCCAAGACCTTTCAAGCCTACAAAATGACAAACGGTGCAAAAAAAGGCGTGGCAACACCAGCGGAAAGGAGGTCGTCGAGGCAAGAGGATGCTAAGGAAAGTAAAGAAATTAAAGACTATAGCAGTCTGATGGCCGAAATAAGGAAAGAATTCAAAAATAATGAACAATATATTGAGAGAAAATTACTTGAGGTACAGGACACTTTGGATAAGAAATTGGAGGGAGTGGTGGGGAATTGACAGGAAAGGTTAAAGATTTATCAGTAAGAACTAAGGTTTTGGAAGATTCAATGAAAAAGGTGCAAAAAGATACGAAAATTAGTAAGAAGGAGGTGGATAGAATTAGAGTAGAAGTTAAAGAGATAGAAAGAGTACAGGAGGAGTTGTTGGACAATATGGCTATGACGCAAATGAGGCAAAATCAAACCAACCTAAAACTGAGGGGTGTACCAGAGACCCCAAATGAGAATATTAGATCTAAAATGATAAAAGAGCTGGCAGCTTGGTTAAATAAGAGCGAGGAGGAGGTAAACTGCCATTTAGTAAATATTTTTCGAATAAGACCAAAATCAGACAGAGCCAGAAAGAAAAAGCTGCCAGGTGATGTAATTGTCATGTTCAACACTTTGGAAATAAGAAATGAAATACTGCAACAGAACCACATAAAAGGTTATATATTGGAGGAAGCCCAATTATTATCTTTAGAGAAATTCCTTCGAGATTTCTTCGAAGGAGAGAGCCATACAAAAATTAACAAACCAATTGAAGAAGAATGGGATATTGTATAGATGGGAGTTTCCGAAGGCATTTCATTCTACTTTAAGGAAAAAAGGTTTAAATTAAGCACCAGTATTGAACTCCAAAAATTTGCGAGGAGATATGAGAAGGACCTGGGAAAAGTTGAAGGGGAGGTGGAAAGGGAGGAACGACAGAGAGACGAGGAGGGTGAAGGGAGTGAAGAAGAAGAAAAAGAGGAGAGCTTAACAGGAGAAGGAGAAGAACAAGAGGAGGAAAGCAAGGAACAGTAGTCTCTATTTAATCTAGTTAAATTAGCTAGAATAGTTTAATAGATGGCTTTAAAAACAATAAGCTGGAATGTCAATGGTTTGAACAATAAAAATAAGAGGAATCAGATTGCACATGTATTGTTGAAAAGAATTGGGATTTAATTTGTCTTCAAGAAACGCATGTTATAGGAAAACACAAGAGAGTATTAAGTAATAAGAGATTGGGATTGGACTTTGTGACCTCCGACAAGGTTAAGAAAAGAGGGGTAGTAATTTATATAAAGGAAAAATATGACCCGCAACTACTGTATAAAGATGAACATGGGAGAGTAGTGGTGGTACAGATGGTGTTTCATGGAGAAAAAATAGTTGTGGTTGGAATATACGCCCGAATGAGAAAAATCAGCTTTCTTTTTGGAATTAGATAATATACTAATGGAATGGATGGACCAGAAAATGATATTGATGGGAGATCTTAATGGGGTGGTGACGCCGAACATGGATAGATTAACAAAAAGACAAGATGGGAAAGAAGGTAAACTACCACGATCTTTCTTCGACATGGTAAATAATTTGGGATTGACGGATGTTTGGAGGTTTAAAAACCCTACTGCAAAACAATTCACTTTTTTTTCAAATCCGAATCAGAGCTGGGGGAGGATAGACAGTATTTGGGTCTCGAGGGAATTGGTACAGAATTTAATTAAGTCCGAAATTTGGCCTAGAACTTTATCTGATCATAGTGCGGTTTCCATGGAGTTAAAAGGTAGAGAGGTTAAAACAGCCAGATGGAGAATGAATGAATATTTATTCAATGATCAAAGGATAGTAAATAAGGCTATAGAAACAATTGAAGAATACTTTAGGTGGAATTTAAATGGAGAAACTTCCATAGAGATGGTGTGGGACGCAGGAAAAGCGGTCATGAGGGGTTTTTTGATTCAGAAAAATACCCAATTAAGAAAAGAAAAAGAAAAAAAGAAAGAGCAGATTTTAACACAGATTATGGAAAATGAAAGAAAATTAACTGTTAACCCTAGTGAAGAGAGCTTAAAACAGAACTTAAAAATACTACAAGCTAAATTTGCTACAATAATTAACCAAGAGATAGAGTGGAAAATTAAAAGGATGAATCAAAAGAACTTTGAGTCCGCAAATAAGATAGGGAAATATCTAGCGTGGCAGTTGAGAGAAAGGAAGAAGTTGAATACGATCAGTAAAATAAAAGAAGGAGATATGATTATGGAAGAACCAAAAGAAATAAGAAGAATATTCCAAAGATATTATAAGGATTTGTACAAAAGAGGAGAGGAAACAGAACAAGAAATAGATCAATTTCTGCAAAAACACCATCTGGAACAAATTGTAGAAGATGAAAGAGCAGCACTAGATGAGATAATAACACAGGAAGAGATAAAAAAAGGCTATTAAAAAGATGAAAGCTGAGAAGGCGCCGGGACCGGACGGCCTTCCGGCCAAATATTATAAAACACTAATTAACCAAATATCACCAGTGCTGGGAGAGGTTATGAACAATATATTGAGAGAAGGAAAGATACCTAATACCTGGAAGGAAGCCTATGTTATATTGATCCCTAAAAAAGAGGTGGACACTATGGAAGTAAAGAACTATAGGCCAATCTCATTATTAAATAATGATTATAAGCTATTTGCAGACATAATGGCGGAAAGATTAAAGAAGGTCTTGATTAATAAAATTCATGGTGATCAAACAGGATTTCTCCCAGGGAGACAATTACGGGATAATGTAAGGAATTTGATTGACATTATTGAATACCTGGACATGAAAATAGACAGAAAAGCCGCACTGGTTTTCATAGACGCCGAAAAGGCATTTGATAATGTTTCCTGGAACTTCCTAAAGAAGGCTTTGGAAAGGATGGGAATTGGCGAAAAATTTAGAAGAGGCATAGAAGCAATATACAAAGAACAGAAAGCAAAGCTGGTGATAAATAACAATACAACAGAATATTTTAACATTTATAAAGGGACCAGACAAGGTTGCCCCCTGTCCCCCTTATTATTTATTGTAATTTTGGAAGTACTTAATAAGAGACTGAGGGAGGCAACAGAAGTGAAAGGAATTAGAGTAGGAAAGAAGGAATTCAAAATTAAAGCCTTTGCCGACGATATTGTTTTGACTTTGGAAGATCCACAAGACAGTGTAAAAGAAGCATTACAAAAAATTGAGGAATTTGGAGAGGTGGCAGGTTTTAAGGTAAACAAGAATAAAACTAAAATGCTGGTTAAAAATTTAACTAAGGAAGAAACGAAAGATCTAGAACAAAAATTGGAAATCATGGTGGTGAAAAAAGTGAAATATTTGGGAGTGTGGATTACGGCAAAAAACATAAACCTATATAAAGATAACTATGAAGTTACATGGAAAAAAATAAAGAAAGATCTGGAAATATGGGGGAGGATGAAATTTTCCTTTTTAGGGAAGATAGCAGTGGTTAAAATGAATGTTTTGCCGAGGATGTTGTTTTTATTTCAAACTCTTCCAGTTATTAAAGGTCTAAAACAATGTAAAGAATGGCAGAGAACCCTGATGAAATTCATCTGGCAGGGGAAAAGACCAAGGATTAAAATGAAAATACTAATTGATAAAAAGGAAAGAGGAGGTTTTGCCCTCCCAGATTTGAGCCTATATTATGAAGCAGCGTGCCTACTTTGGTTAAAAGATTGGATAAAATTGGAGAACAGAGACCTACTGGATTTAGAAGGTTTCAATAACCGGTATGGGTGGCACGCATATCTCTGGTACGAGAAGGTGAAAGTCCACAGGGCTTTCTTAAACCATATTTTCAGGGGACCAATATATCAGGTCTGGGAAAGAAATAAGAACCTTCTCGAAAGAAAAACACCATGGTGGATTTCACCAGTAGAGGTCTTAACAATAAAAAAACCAACATGGAAGGGAAGACAGCCACCTACGAAGATTTGCTAAGAAAATCAGAACAAGGGCTTAAACTTAAACCGTATGAGGAAATAAAGGATCAATTCACCGGCTGGCTACAATATCACCAGGTGAATGATATGTTAAAACAAGATAAAAGAAAAATGGGCTTTGAGGACAAGAAATCAAAATTCAATATAGAAATAATAGAAGGCAAAAACAAAACATTGTCTAAATTATATGACATATTACTGGAATGGCATACAAAAGACGAGGAAGTCAAAGAGGCAATGATTAAATGGGCAATTGACTTCGGTTATAACATCGAGTTTGAAAAGTGGTTGAAATTGTGGAATAGAGACATTAAATTTACGGCCTGTACGAGTTTGAGAGAAAATGTTTGGAAAATGCTCTATAGATGGTATCTTACGCCGGCAAAATTGGCTAAAATCTATAGATCAGAAAATAAGACATGCTGGAAATGTGGTGAAGGGGAGGGAGACCTCTACCATATGTGGTGGCAATGCAGCAAGGTGAAGGTTTTTGGGAAGCAATTTATAATGAACTTAAAAAGTTTTTAAATACACTTTTCCCAAGAGACCTGAGGCCTTTTTGCTGGGAATAATGGGTAAGGAAATAAAAATGAAGATAAAAAATATTTCTCTATGCCACCACAGCCGCAAGAATTATGCTGGCACAAAACTGGAAAATAGAAACTATTCCTAACATAAGTGACTGGCAGGTCAAAATGATCAACTATGCCGAGCTAGATAGATTAACAGGCAGAATACGAGACCAAGACGACCAGAAATTTCAAAAAAATTGGAGTAAGTTTTGGAAATATATTGGAACGGATATATAGGAGGAGCTGGCGGTATTAGAAAAACTTTATCAGCTAATAACTATAAACTTTAATAAACTAATTACGCAACCCGGGACTTATTTGATACTTACCAAAAGGGTGAAGGGAAGTCAAAGGCTAAGGAGAGCCTAATGGTTATATTATTATTTTTGTATGAACGTATGCTTTCTTTTTGTATAGTATGAAAATAGGATGAATAATTCATGTTAAAATGTTTATTTTTGTATTTGTTAGTTCTTTTTCTTTTCTTTATACAAATTCTG